ATCAGTTCAAAGCAGGTCTGTGATTGTCAAGCCAGTGGTCGGCGTGTGCCCGTCCTCATGTCCAGAGGCCAAGGGGAGAAGGAGTTTGGGTTGTGTGGTTCCCAGGGGTGTGCAGGGACCTGGTTTCCTTCTGATGAGTAGCCAAAGTCCATCCCAGACCTGGCCAGAGCCCATTCCTAGTCTGATTTGGCTGAGAAAGGAAGACTCAGGGTCCCCTGGGAAGCAGATCGTGAGTGGCTGGCTTTCCTGCAGAGACATCTGCTTGCGGGTAGAGCCTCCCCCCCCCCCCCCCCGTCCCCAGCTGGCATCACCACCAAGTGGCCCCTCTGCCTACCAGTCAGCAGTGACTAGGGGCCCCATCTACTCTGGGCACCAGGTGAGAACTGGTCCTGTGGGCTGACCCAGGAGGCCTTCGTCACAGGACCTGCATGGGGACCCAGGCTGTTCTCGCTTGAGAAGGGGCAGGTGGGCTTTGAGTTAAACTCAGGAAAGAAGTGTCCTAGAGTGAGGGCTAATTTGTCCCAGTTCCCCTCAGAAGCACTTCCTGGGCCTCAGGCTGAGATGCTAAACCCTTCTCCACAGAGCCTTTGTCCATGGCATAGCCTTGGGGATTTCCTGGTTGAGGAACTGGTCAGCCCAGCTCATCTGGCTGAGGCCTCAGGGTGGAGAAAGTGGTCTCTGCTGAGAAGCCAAATTTCTTGAGGCCAGACTGGGAAGCCCTGCCTTCCCCCAGTCCAGCCTGATATGATAGTCTCCCTCTTTTGGGGCAATCACACAGGCTGGCTCCTCTCTTGCGAACCCCCAATCATCCTTCATTATCACTGTTCAAGAACAAAGCATTGCTGGCCAGGCAGCACGGTTGGACCATCAGCCCGCGCACCAAAAAGTGATGGGTTCAATTCCCAGTTAGAGCACATACCCAAGTTGCAGCTTTGATCCCTGGTTGAGGCGCGTCCAAGAGGCAAATGAGTGATGTTTCTCTCTTTCTCAAAAAAAAAAAAAAATCATATACTCTGGGGAGGATTTATATATTTAAAAAAACCAGCCCTGACCAGTTTGGCTCAGCAGTTAGAGCGTCGGCCCGTGGACCCGGGAGTCCTGGGTTCGGTTCCCGCTAAGGGCACGTACCTCGGTTGCCATTTGTCCCCGGCCCTGGTTGTTCATGTGGGTGGCAGCCACTCGATGTGTCCCTTTCATGTCGATGTTTCTCTCTCTCCTTCCCACTCTATCTGAACAAAAATGGAAAAATGTCCTCAGGTGAGGATAAAAACAAACAAACAAAAAGCCCAGTGAGTGTGGCTCAGTGGTTGAGCGTCGACCCATGCCCCAAGAGGTCGCCATTTCGATTTCCCGGTCAGGACACATGCCCAGGTTGTGGGTCAAATCCCCAATGGGGGACATGCAGGAGGCGGCCAGTCGATGTTCTCTCTCATCAATGTTTCTCTCTCTCGCCCTCCCCTTCTCTCTCTCAAATCAATAAAGAAAAGAAGAAGCAGGGAGCCCAGTGGTTAGGGTTAGGAAGTGGACCTGGGATGCAGACTGCCGGGTTTAAGTCCCAGTTCTCCACTTCGCAGTTGTGACAACCTGTTTGCCTCCCTGAGCCCCAGCTTTCCCCTCTGTAAAGGGGGGATGATAGTAGTGCCTCCTTCACCTCATTGTGAGGATAAGATGTGATCATAGATATAAAGCACCCCCGACCCAGAATACGTCCTCCACTCCATGGGAAGTGGGGGGTTCTGGGGACTCGGATTGTTCTCATACCAGGTGATATAAATAGCTGGATATCTACTTTCTAATAACAAGATTTTTATAATAAACCATACATTTTCTACAGTTTTTACATATTTCACACTTTAAAAGTTTTAAAACTTTTAATAAGTGATGAGATAAACCAAAGAACTTATATGCATGTGTGCGTAACCAATGGACATAGACAGCAATGCTGGGTGTGGGGGGGGGATCAGGAGGAGCGTGTCTAGGGGGAAAAAGGAGAAACATAAAAAACAAAGTTTGTATCTCACGCCCCCCACATATTATATTTATTTATTACTTCCTTTTTTTTTTTGGTACGTGACTCCAGCGGGAACCGAACCCCGGGACTCTCTGGTCCGCAGGCCGATTCTCCAGCCGCTGAGCCAAACTGGCCAGGGCTCCTTCCTGCATTTTTGTTTATTCCTTTTAATTTTGTTTTTAATCCTCACCCAAGGACATTTTCCATTTATTTTCAGATAGAGCAGGAGAGAGAGAGAGGGAGGAAGAGAGAGAGAGAAACATCCATGCGAGAGAGACACACCGAGTGGGTGCCACCCACACGACCCCGGTGACCCCAACCGGGGCTGGGGACAAACTGCAACCGAGGTACCTGCCCTTAGTGGGAACCGAGCCTGTGACTCTCTGGTCCGTGGGCAGACGCTCTGACCACTGAGGCAAACTGGCCAGGGCATATTCCTTTTAATTTTCAATCATTTGGCCACTCACTTGTTTCATCTATGCATTAAAGACAATCCTCTCTCATCCTGACAAAGGGCTATGAGCCAGCTGACAGGTCATTACGGGGTAACACTGAGTTCTTACCGCTTTGTGCCTTGGACGCCTCTTTGCCGGGTGCCATGTGAGGGGTAAGGCGAGCCTTGGAGAGGCCACTGGAGGGAAGTGGGAAGCTGTGACTGGTGTCCTCCAGTTATGCAAGAGTGGAAAGGCCTCTGGGAGGACGTGGAGGAAGTGCTGGGGGCCCTGGATGCAGTGCTCAGGAGGAGGTCCTGCTTGCCCGCCCCTCGCCTCCCCCAGCCCTGCCCCAGCCGTGCCCCAGGTAATGCTGTGAGTCCCGCCTCTGTGCAGGGACCTCGAGGCAGCACCTGTGGCAGAGGAAAGACCAGAGACAGACAGTCTGTCAGGGAGGGGCATTTACGGAATAAAGGAAGCCGCTCAGCAGTGAGCCAAGTGCTGCCAGGGGTCGCCCTCCTGACATGAAGTTTAGTGAGGACAGTCATCCATCATATGACCCCACTTGACCCATTCTTTGTTTTCAACTTTTTATTAAAGTAAGACATAGCCACAGAACAGAACCATCTGAAAATCTTCTAGCCTTGAGCACACTTGTGGGACTAGCATCCCACCCTGGCCGGTTTGGCTCCATGATTAGAGCATCCGTCCGCAGACCAGAGTCCCCAGTTCAGTTCCCACTAAGGGCACTTACGTACCTGGGTTGCAGTTTGTCCCCGACCCTGGTTGGGGTCACCGGGGACGTGTGGGTGGCAATCACTCGGTTTGTCTCTCTTGCATCGATGTTTCTCTCTCTTCCTCCCTCTCTCCCTCCCACTCTATCTAAAGATAAATGCAAAAATGTCCTCAGGTGAGGATAAAAAAATAGTAATAATAATAAAAAAGAAAAGGCCCATTCCCTGCTGCCTCCTGCTCCCCTCCAGTCACTCCAGGCCCCCATCGCCACCCCAGTCGCCCTGGTTTCCATGGTTTCCAACACCATGGACTGGCGTGGGCAGTTCCGAGCGGGTAAACATGTTCTGCAGGTGTGCTGTGTCTGCCTCCTCTCCCACCACGCCGTGTCTGGAAGGGTCACCCATGTGTGTGTGCAGTTACTTTTCTGTTTCTTTTTTTTTTTTTAAAGAGAGAGTGGAAGAGAGAGACACATTGATTGGTTGCCTCCTGCACGACCCCAACTAGGGCTAGGGATCAAACCTGTGACCCAGGTGCCCTTGACCAGAACCAAACCACAACCTTCAGTCCAACACTTTAACTGCTGAGCCAAACCAGCCAGGGCATGGGAGTTCCTTTTCATTGTTGGGTAGTGTACCCTTCTGTGTGGGAAAATCCTTGATGCGTAAATTGATATGACCAGAGAAAGGACTTGCAAGGCTTGTCACACTGAGGGCTGGTGACCTTCAGGTGGAGGGGCGGGGAGCATCAGTGACTGAAGGGGACCTCCCAAGCAAATCTTTCTGAGACAGATGCCAGCCCTCACCCCCGCTAGTCCAGGGGACCCATGGCTCTGCATGCTCCCGGTGCTGACCGCCTTTGCCATGTTTCTCAATCTTGCAATCTGCGCATCTGGGCCACAAACTGGTCCCGTCCACCTGAGCCTGCAGCCAGACTGCCTGGGTCTGAGCCGCTTGCTGTGTGACCTTGGACCAGCTCAATAACCTCTAAGCATCCCAGCACCGTGCCACCCTGGCCCTAGAGCCCCAGACTTTAGTGAGAGGCTGCAGCCACTCTTCAGCCATGCCCTCCCCTCCTCCTCTTCCTCCCCAACCCCCTTCTGGGCAGAGTGGGTGGTCCCGGTTCACTCAGGAGGACACTGGGTCAGCTCTGAGGGGCCATCCTTTGATCAGGATTTGAACCCAGTTCAGAGAGTCTGTCCCAGTCGCCAGGGCCCCGGCCAGGCTCACACGGGGATGGGCGCGCTGCTGCACACGCTGGTACCCAGGTGTCTCCGGAGGGTCCACTGGGTGCCCACGCGCCCGAGCCCTTGCTCCCACGGGGCTCACACTCTGGCAAGGAGAGAAATTGTAAAGAAAATAATAATAAAATAGGTAATATGCCGGTTGTGGTAAGTACTGTACTCTGAGTAAAACAGACAGCAGCATGGGGGAAGCCGCAGTTTGCTGTTATGTGTAGTTATCATGGAGGGCCTCTCGGAGGCGGCGCCATCTGAGCAGCACCCTAGAGAAAGCTCTGTGGGCGGAGATGGCCCCGGGGGCGGCCTGGCCGGCCCTGCGGTGGCGGCTGGCGGGGTCCCGGGAGCCCAGAGGGGTGGTGGATGAGGCCCCCGACCTGTGAGGCCCCGTGGGCCGCGGGGAGGATGCGGACAAACTCGTCCTCGCACACAGGCGTGCGAGCGGCCGTGCGCACCCCTGTGGGGAGCCCGGGGCGCCCCAGAAACTGAAAGGAGAAGGAAGCCCTCTGCGCCCTCCGCGCCCTCCTGCCCCAGCCCGGCCGCGCCGGCGGCGACTTCCTCTTTCCAGCCCATTTAATGCCAGCCCGGGGCCGCGCGGGAGGGAGGACGCGCAGCCCGCCATGGGGGACCCCTTCATCCGCCACATCGCCCTCCTGGGCTTCGAGAAGCGCTTCGTCCCCAGCCAGCACTTCGTAAGTCGCGGGAGCGCCGGGCCAGGGCGCCCCGACGCTGCGCGGTCCCCGGCCCAGGGCCGCCGCCGGGGAACCGGCTCCCCGGGCGCTGGGACGGCCGGGCGAGCTCGTGGGCGAGCGGCTCCCTGTCTGGGCCTCAGTCTGGGTCCACGTGGGACCCTTAAAGGGATGCGCACCCTGGCGCCCCGGCCCCGCCAGCCCACCTCGCTCCCGCCCCAGCCAGGAGTCCCCTCTCCACTCCCCGTACCCGTCCCGGCAGCCGGCCGGCGCCCAGGTCCCGGGCGCGCTCCTCCGGGCAGCCCTCCCGGACCATCCCCGCTCCCAGGGAGCGATCCTTCCGCGGGAGGGAGGGAGGCGGAGGGCTCTCTGTGCCCGAGCCGCCCCGTGGGGTCGTTTCCTGAGAGTCCTGTCTCCTCTAGTAGGGTGACACCACCATGGGCGGGGGGCAAAAAAGTGCCCCCTCCTGCTCCCGGGGAGCTGGGGAGGTGTCTGTGCAGACATAGACCCCACCACGGAGTCCTCAAGCCCAGAGGAGGGCCCAGGAAGATCATTCTGCTTCTCTCGCTGTCCCTCCCTCCCTCCCTCCCTTATCCCTTGTGTCTCCGAATATAAAACGTCTGGAACATTTGAGAGTAAGTTGGGGAAGTTGTTTCTTAACCTCTAAATCTGTGCTGTATATTTGTTAAAAATCAGTGACATTCTCCTACATAACAATAATGCAAATTGTCTGGAAGTTGATATGAAGCACTGTTATCCAGCCCACAGACTTTATTCAGACTTCGGGTTGTCCTACTTGTCCTCTGCAGTAAGAACACTGCGGGTCCAGGATCCAAGCGGGACCACCTGTTGCGTTTCAGCTGTCATGGCTCTTCACCTGGGTCAGTCTGTCTTTGTCCTCTCAGCTTCGACATTTTGAAGAGATGGGACCGTTATTTTGTAGAATGTCCCTTGATTGGTGTTTATCCTTCATTAGATTCAGGCAGGACAACCCCAGAAGTGATTCTATGTTCTTCGCATTGATCCTATCAGGAGGCAGGAGACTGTGACTTGTCCCCATATCAGTGATGTTAACTTTGATCACCACGTCCTGGGCATGTCCTCCAAGGTTCTCTGCTGTGAAGTTACTGTTTTCCCCTAAATAACTAACCTGTGGGGAGATTATCTGAAGTTATATGACTATCCTGTTCCTCCTAGGAAGTGATGGCTCTTGCCTGAATCAAAGCACTATAATGATTGCCAGATAGTGATTTTGTATACATTTGTATTGACTTTAGCGAGAGAGACAGAGAAACATCGATGTCAGAGAGAAACACTGATGTGAGAGAAATATCCATTGGCTGCCTCCCTCAGGCACCCTGAGCGGGGATCCCCCCAGCAGCCCAGGCACGTGCCCTGCCCAGGAGTCAGCCGGCAACCTCTCAGCGCCGTGCCAGGATGCTCAGCCAACCGAGCCACACTAGCCAGGGCCAGGTTGTGATTGTTAAACTCACTCATTCCTTTTGCATTTATTACTTAAAATTTTACTGTAAGGATCTTTCCTGCTCCCTTATTTATTAATTCTGTCAATATGGGTCCATGGATTCTGATTTTATTCAATGGGTTATGATCCATTACTATCATTACTTATTTTATTATATGTATTTATATACACACACACATATGTGTGTGTGTGTGTGTGTGTGTGTGTGTGTATTTTATCCTTACCCAAGGACATTTTTGCATAAAGCAAGAGGGAGAGAGAGAGAGAGAAATAGCCATGTGAGAGAGCCACATCTACCGGCTGCCACGCACACGACCCCAACCGGGGCAGGGACAAACTGCAACCGAGGTACGTGCCCCTAGTGGGAACCGAGCCTGGGTCTCTCTGGACCACTGGCCGACGCTCTAACTGCTGAGCTAAACCGGCCAGGGCAATCATTACTTATTTTGATGCTCAGATTGCCCCAGCTTTGCCGGTGGGAGCTCCTTCAAGCTGGCTTCTGTGCCTGTCATTCTTGGGGCGCATTCTTACTTCTGGACAAGATGGTCCAGGCTCACTCTCCCAGCCCCAGCCCTGCACTCGGCCATTTTGCTAAGGACCCCTGCTTCTTTTTAGTGAGGAGTGACATTAGAACCCAAGATCCAGAAGCTAGCCCTGGCCGGTTTGGCTTAGCGGTGAGAGCGTCAGCCCAAGGACCAGAGAGACCCGGGTTGGGTTCCCGCTAAGGGCACGTACCTCGGTTGCAGTTTGTCCCCGGCCCCGGTTGGGGTTGTGTGGATGGCAGCCAGTCGATGTGTCTCTCTCACATCGATGTTTCTCTCTCTCTCTTCCTCCCTCTCTCCCTTCCGCTCTATCTAAAGATAAATGCAAAAAATGTCCTTGGGTGAGGAAAAAAAAAAAAGAAAGAAAGAAAGAAAAAAAAAGATCCAGAAGCTCATTGCCACTGAGGTGTCATTGCTCATGTCCTTCCAGTGGACAGACTGGCGAGAAGAGCCATTTCATATCATTCTTGCCTTCCGCCATTTTATATTTGTGGCTCCTTTCTCTCACCGTGAGAGGCCTGGCCCCCAGCAACATCCATATGTTTACTCCTTTGCTCAATTCTACAGCACACATAAACTTGTTTCTGAATTACTACGCCCATACCACTATTAACAATAATAAACCTAATAAAACTATGAAGTCAGATTTAAATTTTCTTTGCAGTTCTTTGGTCCTTTTATCGTCAGATTGCGAGGAGTGAATATACCATAGCTAAAAGTTACTGGGATTCTTTCTTTTCCATTTTTCTTTAATATGGTTGTTACCAATCTGAGATGTATGTGTGTGTGTAAGTTTGTTTCTGTTTCCAACTTTGAAGTTTTTAAAAAATCCTGTTGATTTAACTTTTGGCATTTTAATGATGCCGTGCCTTGGGGTGGGCCTCTTTGGGTTCACCTTCTTCAGGACTCTCTATGCTTCCTGCACCTGGGTGTCTGTTTCCTTCACTAGGCTGGGGAAGTTTTCAGCCATTACTTCTTTAACTAGGTTTTCTTTAACTAGGTTTTAACTAGGTTTTCTGTCCTTTCTCTTCTCCTTCTGGGACTCCTGTGATTCAAATGTTAGTATGCTTTGTGCTGTCTCAGAGGCCCCTTAAACTATCCTCATTTTTTAAAAGTTATTTATTCTCTTTGCTCTTCTGAATTGGTGATTTCCAATTCCTTGCCTTCCATCATGCTGCCTCTGCATCAACCTGCTATTGATTCCTTCTAACGTAATCTTCATTTCAGGTACCGTATTCTTCCTTTCTGACTGGTTCTTTTTCTGTGCTTTCTATCTCTGTTAGATTTCTCACTGAATTTATCTACTCTTCTCCTGAGTTCATGGAGCATCCTTATAATCAGTGCGTTGAACTCTTTATCTGATAGATTGCTTGTCTCTGTTTCATTTAGTTGTTTTTCTGGGCTTTTGTCCTGGTCTTTCATTTGGAGCACATTCTCTGTCTGCTCGCTTTGGCTGGCTGCGTTTGTAAGAATTAGGTGGAACAGCAGCCTCCCCCGGTCTTGAAGGAGTGACGCTGTGGAGGAGCGTCCCTGTGTAGCCTGGGTGTGCCAGGTGGCTCTGGTGGGCCAGCTGGAGCTGGGACTAGAGCTGGAGCATTCATGGCCCATGAGGGAGGCCTGGGGGCAAGCTCCCCTGGGCTGGAGCTGTAGGTGGAATGGGCATGGGCCAAGGGAAGCCAGTGGGCAAGCTGGACCAGGGCTGCCTTGGCAGGCAGGCAGCAGTTGTAGTTGGAATGAGCTCAGGCTTCACTAAGGCTCCAGGGGCAGGTTGAACCAGGCTCTGGAACTGAAGCTGGAGCAGGTGTGAGCCGCAGGGGCAGTAGCTACAGTGGGCATGGTCTACAGCAAGTCCAGGGGACAAGCCACACCTGGGCCGGAGCTGGAGCCAGGACAGGTGTGGAGCGGAGAGTCCTGAGGGCAAGCAGTGCAGAGCCTTCCTGGAGGGCCCCTCAGGCTCTGGACCTGGAGCCGGCTGGCCAGAGTCCTAGGGACAAGCGGCAGAGCTGCTGCGGGCCTGGGGCACAGGGGGCAGCGCAGCCCGGATCAGGAAGTGGGGGCACAAATGGTGCGCTGTCGCCTTCAACCCAGAGAAACTTCTCACAGTTCCTTTCCCACGTGGCAAATGCTCTAGGGTTAGTAAACTGATTTCCTTCCTATACAGCCCAGGTGTCCTTTAAACCGCTGTTTTTAAGCTGTGCCCTAGGGCAGGCGACTGCAGGGCAGTGGTTGGGTGGGGTGCCCACCTGCCTGTCCCGCCCGAGCGCCGACCTGTTTCTGGGGGCCTCTCTCGTTCCTTGTGCTGAAGCTGTCAGTCAGCCTCGGTTCTTCACGAGGAATCTTGCGATTCATCCATGTCGTCGTATAGATCAGCAATTTGTTCCTTTTTGTGGCTGAGTAGTATTCTCCTATTATTTTTCTTTACTGAGTTCTTTTTAATATTTTAAAATAATGGCTTTATTGAAATTAAATCTCATACCATACAGTATACCTATGCAAAGTGTACAAGTTGATAGTTTTTAGTATATTCGCAGAGTTGCACAATCATTACGACAACCAATTTTAGAAGATTTTCTTCACTCCCAAAGAAGCCCTATCCTGACAGTAGTTGTTCCTCATTCCTCCCCCCACCCCCACCCCTGGTACCTGGCAACCACTAATCTATTTTCTGTCTTTATCGACTTGCCTGTTCTGCACATTTATATACGTGAACCCATACAATACCCTACTGAGTTCTTGTATTGTTTGAGCCCAGCCCTTTCTGTGTCTTGTCTCCTGAAACTCTCTCATAGTAGCCCTATGGTGAGGTCCTACTTTTATCTCCAATGACAGGTGAGGAGTTTAAGTTGATACGCGAGCAGTTGTTCATCTTGTCCTGGGTCCTAAAGCTGAGAGTGCAGCTCCGGGGTCTATGAAGTTCGTGTCCTTCCTATGACCCAGGTTGCCCCAAAGTCCCTCAGGCTCCCACCTGGGGTGGAGGGCTGCCCAGTATGTGGCAAGGCCCCCTAGGCAGCTGACCTGGGTCCTCCCACCCCCAGGTGTACATGTTCCTGGTGAAGTGGCAAGACCTGTCTGAGAAGGTGGTCTACCGGCGGTTCACCGAGATCTATGAGTTCCATGTGAGTGCCGGGGGCAGGGGGCGGGGAGGGCACACCACACCCAGTCCCAGCTCTGCTTTTTGGGGAGGAGAGCGACCCAGGTGTTAGCTGGGAGCTGAGGGGCCCAAAGTCTGCCCCCACCAGCCCACAGTTAAGAGGGCATTTTTTAAACTTTTTCCCCCCCTTTATTGATTTTAGAGAGAGAGGAAGGGAGAGGGAGAGAGATAGAAACATCAGTGAGAGAGGACATCGATTGGCCACCTCCCACATGCCCCCCACTGGAGATCAGGCCCACAACCTGGGCATGTGCCCTGACCGGAACGCGAACTGGCGACCTCTTGGTGCATGGGTCAGTGCTCAACCACTGAGCCACACCAGCTGAGCCCAATTTAGGTTTTAAGAGGACGCCTCTGGCCCTGGCCGCAGTTAGAGTGTTGGCCTGCAGTCCAGAGAGACCCGGGTTCAGTTCTTGCTAAGGGCGCGCACCTCGGTTGCAGTTTGTCTCCGGCCCTGGTTGGGTCATGTGGGTGGCAGCCACTTGATGTGTCCCTTTCACATCGGTGTTTCTCTCTCTCTCTTCCTCTCTCTCCCTCCCACTTTATCTGAACAAAAAATAGAAAAATGTCCTCGGGTGAGGATAAAAAAAAAGAGGACCCCTCTGGGTGCTGGATTGAGGACAGACAAGGGTGGAAGGGGGACATGACATAAAAGGTAGTAAAATCCAGGCCTGGGGGGAGCTGGGACCGGGGCGGTGGCGGTGTGGGTGGAGAGAAGGGTCAGATTCTGGATAGATGTTGGGAGTAGAACCGAACGGATCTGTTGGGGGCTGGGTGTGAGGTGGGAGAGAGAGAGAGAAGTCAAAGACGCCAGCAGAGATGCGTAACCCGAGCGGTTAGAGGGTATTTCGGTTGTTTCCAATGTTGTGCTTTCACAGTGTTGTAATGAACAAATATCCCTTCATATTTTCTTTTCTGTCTAGAAAACCTTAAAGGAGATGTTTCCTATTGAGGCAGGGGACATCAACCCACAGAACAGGATCATCCCCCACCTGCCAGGTGAGGGGCTGAGTCACCAGGGCCGGGTCACCTGTCCTGGCTCCCCTCACCTGCCCTCCCCACCCCCACCCCTTCTTGGACTTACCTTGGAGAACGTGCTCACTGTTTCTTTGGCACCCCTCCCCGATCCGATCAGCACCCAGGTGGTTTGACGGGCAGCGGGCAGCGGAGAGCCGCCAGGGCACCCTCACCGAGTACTGCAATACCCTCATGGGCCTGCCGGTCAAGATCTCCCGCTGCCCACACCTCCTGGACTTCTTCAAGGTGCGCCCCGACGACCTCAAGCTCCCCACGGACAGCCAGTGAGTGGCCTCCTTGTCCTGTTCCGGGGCAGATGGGAGAGGATATGGGGTGGTAAACTCCACCCTAGATAGGGGCGGGTGGGACTTTCCCCATCTCACAGATAAGGAGGCTGGGGCTCAGAGAGGGGAAGCGACTTCCCAAAGTCACACGGCCAAGAAGAGAAGGAGGCAAGACGGCAACCCTGGCCCATGTGACCTGCAGCCACTCAGCATCCTTTCCAAATCTCCACTTGGACCCCTCTGAGCATTGCAGCTGCAGGAACCCCGGGGGCGGGGGTCTGAAAGTGTTCTGAACGCAGTTTTCCCGCGTGTGGTGGGTGGTGAGGGCCCAGTGCAGTCCCGGGTGCCATGGAGATCGCTCACAGAGGGTAAGTGAGAGGAAGTCGGGGTTGGTGGCCCTGTTCATTGCTGAGCAGGTCTCAGGCCCTTGGCTCCCTTTTTTGTTGTTGTCAATCCTTACCCAAGGAGATTTTTTCCACTGATTTTTTAGAGTGGAAGGGAGGGAGGGAAAGGGCAGGAGAGAGAGAGATGTGAGGGAGATACGTCAATTGGTTGTCTCCCACATGTGCCCCGACTGGGGTGGGGATCAAACCTGCAACCCAACTACGTGCCCTTGATGACCGGGGATCAAACCTGCAACCCTTCAGTGTGTGGGCTGATGCTCTAACCACTGAGCACACCGGTCAGGGCCCTTGCTCCCTTTTGTCACCTCATTCTCTGCCAGCCCCTGCCCCGGGGTCTCCTGTCCTCAGGGCCCTGCATGGAAGGCACCCGAAACACTGAGTGAGGTCTCGGGAACACTCCGGGAAGGACCCTCTCTGTCTCCCTCTGCTCACTGAGTGTTGGGGAGACTGGTGGGAGGACAGGGCTGCCATAGACCATCACTCCAGCCAGTGCTCACTGACCCCTAAACTCACCCCTGCTGCAGGGAAGGGCAGCTCCCATTGGGCCCGGGGTGGGGGTACCCACTTCCCACTGGCTGCTCTCTCCAGGCTCCGGAAGAAGGGAGCTGGCCCCAGAGCCTTTCCCAGACCGGCTGTCTCTCCAGCTCGGGGAGGAGGCCCGCGCTGTCTTCGACAGCTGCACCTTCTCCTTGGGGTCCCCGCCTCAGGCTGGTAGAACGAGCACTCCGTCACCCCAATACCCGTTCCTTGCCAGTCCAATCCACCGCCTTTTCTCTGCAGCGGCCCCCACTTCCCACGCTCCTTTTCCTCGTGGGGATTCTTCTGCGGTCCACCAGGAGTCCCATTCCCCAGCGGGGAGCCGAGCGTCTAAGCCAGAGTGTTCTCTCCTGCAGGGTGAAAAAGCCGGAGACGTACCTGATGCCTAAAGATGGCAAGACTAACGCTGCCGGTGAGAGGGCCAGGGGCAGCCAGTGCAGGCCACCCTAAGGGGACCGTTGACAGGGCCAGGGACCAGAGCTCAGGGTGTACAGGGAGAAGAGCAGGTGAGAGCAGTTGCGAAGGGTGTTGGTAGCTACACTAATGGGACCTTTCGGGGTCACTTGGAAATAAAGGCACTGCCCTGGCCTCCCTGGCTGCAGAGCCCAGCACAGATGCTGGCGGATGTGGCTGGATGAATGAACAGGGTTGGGGGCAAGGGAGGCCTTCACGGGTGACACAGCAGTGTCTTGTCCAGCTCTGGCTGCCATAACAGTACCACCAGCTGGGCGGCTTAAAGAAGAGGAATGTATTTCTCACAGTCTGGAGGCTGGAAGTCTGAGATCGAGGTGTGAGGGTTGGTTTCCGCTGAGGCCTCTCTCCCGGGCTTGCGGGTGGCTGCCTTCTGTCTGTGTCCTCACATGGCCCCTCCTCTGTGCACAGGCACCCACTGCTGCCTTCCTCTTTCTATAAGGACCCCAGTCCTGTGGGATCAGGCCCCACCCTAATTACCTCATTTCACGTTAATCACCTCCTTAAAGACTTTTTCTCCAAATACACTCAGATTCTAGAGTACCGGGTTAGGGCTTCAGTGTACGAATTCGGAGTAGGGGGCACAATTCAGCCCACAGCATGGCGGCAGCAGCACCTGGGGGCTGATTGAAACTGCAGACTCTGGTCTCACCACAGACCTTTGGAGTCAGAAACTGATTTCAGCTCCATCCCTGGGTGGTTTGTGCACACGTTCAAGGTGAGGGGATGGCTTGCTAACCTCATCAGATGAGAAAGAGCCGGTGGAGTGTGTGACTAGGGTCTGGAACCCAGTGCGCAGGGCTGCAGAGCTTACTCCGCTGCCCCCAGCCTGCAGGGGCACCTCCTGGACATGACTGCAGCTGCGCGGGGAGGGGAGGCAGGTGCCGGTTCTGGGGGGCCCAGGGAGAGCCAGGAAGAGGCGCTCACCCCCTCAGCATCCACTGACCCCGTCCCCCTCTGCCCAGACATCACAGGCCCCATCATCCTGCAGACATACCGAGCCATCGCTGACTACGCGAAGAGCTCGAGCACCGAGATGGCTCTGGCCACGGGCGACGTGGTGGACGTCGTGGAGAAGGGCGAGAGTGGTCAGTCCCCTGCCCCGCCTGGGCCTTCCCTGCTGCCCCTCAGGCAGCCTCAGGCCTCCTCCCCGCCTGGCCCTGGGGCCCTGACTGTCCTTCTCACACTGTGGGTCACCCTGTCTCTGTGCGTGCACCCTGGGGTGGCTGTGGGTATCCGCACATATTGCCGACTTCACTGCGCGTCTCGGGGTCATATCCGGTGGGCAGGCCAACTCCTCACCATGAGTGTGGAGTGGGTTCTCAGCTGTGATCCTGTGACTCTGTGTGTGTGGGGTGTGATTTTGGTGTGGAGTGTGGTGAAGGTGACATTTCTGAGTCCAGGTGTTGGATGTTTGTATGTCTAAGTGTCCTCCCCAGCCCGACGGCCGAGGGAGGCTGCCAGGCCCATCCTGACGATTGGCCTCACACCCTGTTCACAGGCTGGTGGTTCTGCCAAATGAAGACAAAGCGAGGCTGGGTCCCGGCCTCCTACTTGGAGCCCCTGGACAGTCCTGATGAAGCAGAGGACCCCGAGCCCAACTATGCAGGTGTCCCCTGTCATCCATGGCCATAGGGGTGTGGGAGGGAGGGGTGGGAGGAGCCTGGGGATATTGAGAAACCAGAAGTGACTCCTTTGGGATTGGACCTCATGGAGGCTTGGGGAGTCAGGGTTGAAACCCCACAGTTTGGCTTTGGGGCTCTGGTGGGAGGTGGTCAAGGCAGGGAACCAGGAGGAGGAATAGAAGTGGGGGTGATGAGGTCAGCCTGGGACACTGGGTGGCCGTCGGCTGGGGCCAGGTCCAGTGGGAAGCTGAATGGCGAGTAGACCTGAGGTTCAGGAAAGAGGGCTGCCTGGAGGAGGGGGCATCATTGCTGACTAGAAGGGAAAAACTGGCAGCCCCTTGAGGAGTTTGAAAACTATTAGAATTGGTTACGCGTATTTTAAAATGGAGAGATTTCACAATTTTATGTGGATTTATGGATCCTCTTTAAAAACTGGAAAAGGTGTGTATACTAGGCCTACCGTTGTCTGGAGTCGAGCAGCTCAGGTGCCCTGTGGGCAGGCGTTTTGGTCCCACACTTCCTGCAATCTCTACGTAGTTGCCTCACCAGGGCTCTGAAATCATAGGACCTCTGGTCCCTGGTGTGGATTGTGGTGGGTGGGAGTGGGCAAACTCCCCTGGGTCCAGAGGGGAGAGAGGGCAGAACTGCAGGATGCCCCACAGTGGCTGAAAGGAGCCTGCAGGAGACCAAGAAGTACCAGCTGGAGGAAGCCCCAGGCTCAGAGAGGAGAGGAGGGGTGGCGAGGCCTGTGCTGGGCAGATCCTCATACCATGTCCCTCCCCCTCACTGTGCACCAGGTGAGCCCTACGTCACCATCAAAGCCTATACTGCTTTACTGGAGGATGAGTTGACCCTCCAGGAGGGCGAAAACATCGAGGTCATTCATAAGCTCTTGGACGGCTGGTGGGTCATCAGGTAGGAGAGCACGCCTCCCTCCCACTGCACCAGCCCTGGCCTGGGGCAGGGTCTGTTTGGGCTCAGGGTTGACTTGGTGTGGTCTTGGCTGCCTGACACTGGGTAAGCTACTGCTTCTCTCTGGGCTCAGTGTCCATTATGGTAGCAGATGAGTGAGTCCCACCCTGCCTGTCTCTTGGGTTCAGTGTCCTTGTCAGAGAGGGTACATTTTTCCTTTGTGATTTGGGGTCACATCCCTTGACCAGTCCATCTATTATCCCTTCTTCAGCAACACAACTAATTTCTGTATTAATCATTATGTTTGATAACTTGTAAGACACACCTGTCATCTGTTTTCCTTTTAAATCTTTCCTTATAATTCCATACTAATTTCTCCCCCAGTTCTTGGGGAAGCAGAGATATTTTCCTGGAGCCACTGGGTCTCCCCAGGTCTTGCACATGCTTTCAGAGCCTTGGGTCACAGGGCCCACCCATGACCCCAGTGTACAACACCCATCTTCAGCATGGTCCTGGGCTGGAGGCTTTGAGACAGGGTTTCTTTGTTTTTCTTTTATCTTATTTTTCATCACCATTTATCCCCCCTACACCCTCTTCCACCCGAGACAGGGTTTCTCAACCTTTCAGATTCACACTTAGTTAACCCTTATCATGCCCCTGAGAATCTGCTTGTGATTCTCCACCATCCAAGAAGAATCAGTGTGACTGAGTGAAGTTTGTATTATGTAAAGTTTCCCCCCTCCTAAATGTAATAGTGAGAATGGGGAAAGAAACCTTTTCGACAAATGGTACTGGAACAACTGGATATCCATACGGAAAACAAAACAAAACTCCAAACCAAAAACAAACCTAGACCCCTACCTCACACCATATACATTTATTTGGGATGGATCACAGGTTTTACGAAGTACAAAACCCCAAACTAAAAAGCTTTTGGAAGAAAGCATAGGAAAACTTGGTGAGTGGAGTTGGCAAAAGTTTCTTCATACACACAAGACAATCACCATAATAGAAAAATTGACAAATACAATATTGCAGATGTTTTATAGCAAACACATGTCCCTGGGGAGACCTGGATCTGCTAATTTCCTCCCCACCCCTACTTACAGCCAGTAGGGTCTGTGTTGCACAGATGAGGAAACTGAGGCCCAGAGGGGCAGGGTCTGGTGTTGGCCCACCTAATGTTTGCAACCTCCCAGCTGCTTTGACCATAACTGTTTAGAGGGAGCCCCGTCTTCCCACTGACCAGGCTCCCATCTCTGTTGCAGGAAAGACGATGTCACAGGCTACTTCCCGTCCATTTACCTTCAGAAAGCAGGGCAGGATATAGCCCAGGCTCAAAAGCAGATCAAGAGCCGAGGAGCGCCGCCCCGAAGGTGAGTCCTTGGGGCTGGGGGGACTGGGCGGGCTGAGGAGGGCTGTCCTGGATTGGCAGGCCTGGAGCGGGGGTGACAGGGTGGGGACCCTGAGCCTGGCTGGGATGGCAGCACCCTCACCGGGTCAAGAGTCTGGACTTGTCCGCCCATCCCGCCCCCACCCCTCTGCCCGCGCTGCGCCGTGGTGCTGGCACCGGGCGGCGGGACAGCAGGGGTGTGAGGTGGGGGTGAAGGCACTGATGGCCAGCGTCTTTGGGGATGGTCTGTGACGGCTGTGGCAGTTCGGAGGGCTTCCTGGGGGGAGGGCGGGCTAAAGGCTGGTGAAGGGCGTGGGAAATGGACCTGCTCTACCGCACCGCAAGGGCAGCCGCCTACAGGCCGTGCCGGACCTCCCCCCCCCCCCCCGCCCCTGCCGCGCCCCACTTCCTCGGGTCAGTCTTTGGACCCCAGGGTGGCCATGCCAGTCCCCAAGGGCTGGGACGCGGCCGCTCCGGGGCGGGGCGTTGACTGACGTTCCCGGCCTGCTGGGCCCAGGTCATCCATCCGCAATGCGCAGAGCATCCACCAGCGATCACGAAAGCGCCTCACCCAGGACACCTACCGGCGCAACAGCGTCCGCTTTTTGCAGCAGCGCCGCCGCCAGGCGCGGCCGGGGCCGCAGAGCGCAGGGAGCCCGCTGAGTGAGTGCTGGCCCGGGGCGGGGCGGGGCGGGGCCGAGAAGGCGGGCGGGGTGGGGCCGAGAAGGCGGGCGGGGCGGGGCCGAGAAGGCGGGGCGGGGCCGGGAAGGCGGGCGGGCGAGAAGGCGGGCGGGGCGGGGCCGGAGGGTGAGGAGAGGCTGGCGGGGAGTGCGAACTGGGGCGAGGGCCGGAGCGGGGCCTCTTACCGGCCGCGCCGTCTGCCAGCAGAGGAGCAGCCGCAGACCGACAGCCCGAGGCCGCAGCCGGCGGTGCCCCCGCGGCCCAGCGCAGACGTCATCTTGCACCGCTGCAGCGAGAGCACCAAGCGGAAGCTGGAGTCGGGCGTCTGAGGCCGGGCACCGCCCCTACATGGCGCCCTGGACCCTCCGCCCCCTTACGCCCCATCCCTATATGTTTGTGATTAGAGCCTGAGGTCTGGACACCTAAGGCAGCTTCGGGCCCCGCCCCGCCTAGCTATCTGCCACCCTCAATAAATGTTGCTTGGAGTGGACAGACAGAGGCTCTGCAGAGACTCGAGGGGTGCTGGGTTAGAATTAGGACGGGAATTAGAACTCTGCTGAGTGGGAAATTGCAAGAGCTCAAATCCGATTGCATACTGCCCTGGCCTTGGCCAAGATCGTTTGCACAAGGCCACATTCAAAAGGAACTCCTGGCCCCGCTGGCCATTTGTTTGGTCAGAAACTGCCTGCTCGAACTCTGGCCCCGCTGCAGAACAGTCCTGCAGAAGGGTTGGATACAGTAAGCAGTGAGGGGGTAAGGGCAGTGAGTGACTTTGTATGTGCACCTTAGCTGACAAAAAATTTGCAATAGTTATAGGAAGGAGGCGCCTCTGATTCTTCACTGACAGCATGCTCAGTTGGGAGGCTATGCCAGAAAGCAAATATTCAGATCCTAACCACCTACCCCAGCATTACTGCCAGCGCATGGACTCAAAGGCTCTGCTGTGGGTCTTTCCCCAAATGCAAAGACTCTAAGGTGCACAGTGGAGCTGCAAATCTTGCAAAAGATGCAGCTTGTCACAAAGGCCAAGGGTGGCATGAAGAGCTGCTCCTCCTGGGGTGGGGTGGGGGGAGGGAGTGGCTACCTGAGGTAGGCAAGGCTGGTATCCTTAGAGATCAGAGAAAATCCGCAAGGGGACAGGTGCCTCTCAAGAGAATAATTGACCATCAAATGATTGAGGCTTTGAGAAAACCACTGGGCCCTTAATCCTTTTGCTTTTTGCAGACCCGTTTGTTTGCTGGAAAAGTCCAGTGTCAAAGACTGTCGTGCAAAGCTGTGGAAAAAGTAACCACAGGCAACCCCAACCTTAGCTTATTCAATTGCAATTATAACGTATACAGTATAAGATAAAATACTTATTTTCAAAATTCTTAGTTTCATTTTTTTTCAAGGTCAAGTCCTTCTCCCCATGTTTTTCTGTATTTCTGGTTCCCTGGAGGTGGTGGTGTGCTGGCCCCACAACAGCATGCTGGTGTGGAGGACCCTGGAGGTGGGTATGCCTGAGGTCAGGAAGGCACCCCCACAGGCCTCTGCCATGCACAGGGAAACTGACTAGAAGCTGCCTGGTGGGTGCCTGGGTCTGAATTAGGCCTGTACTGTCTGTGCAGCTGGTTTTCTTGAGTCCAGGCATAGTGCTGGGCTCTTTACATTGTGTCTAGTTCTGAGAACAACCCTGTCAGGTAGGTACCTTACAGATGAAACCAAGGCTCAGATAATGTTGGTGGTTTAAGGTAATAGGGCAAGTAGGTGGCAGAGGTGGGAGGTAGAGCCAGGCTTTTTTTTTTTTTTCTGATTCCAAAGCCCTACTGGACTCTGCAGAGTTCATGCGTCAGTCCTGGTGGGCGGTGCGGTAGTTGAGGGGAGCTCAGAGGAGGGAGTGTGATGTGGGACAGCTTTCAGAGCCCTCTGCTGCCCCCGCTTCCAGTCCTGTGTTGGAGGAGTAAGGGGCTCTTCCCTTTACCCACCCTGGATGGGAATGCAGGGCCTTCAGACAGATGCAGGGCACCTCTGCCTGGGAACGGACAGGGACCTGTCAAATCCAGGCCCCATCTCTGTGACCACAGCACTCCAAAGTGCGCCCATTGGTAGACACGGCATCACCATAACTGCTGAAAACCACATGAGTGACAGTGCTGGTCAAGCCACTCTGGTCCCAACACACACTGCAGAGTAAAGAAGGAATCTAGGGGCCTCAGGAGTTGCTTCAAAGCACCCCAGGCGTGATCCAGCCGGCGGAAAGCAGCCCAGGCTGAACCCTGCTGTCCCTTCCCTGTCACCAATGGGCTAAGTGCCAGAAGGCCACACACATGCAGATGAGCTAAGGCTGTACACCAGGTCTCCATGTCAGTCACAGTGGCCACCTGGAAAGGGAAATAGACCGTGGACTTTGGAGTCACACGGACCTGGGTTTGAATCCCAGACTCCTCTACTGGATGTGTGGCTTGGGCAGGCCAGTCGACCACCCTGAGCCTCAGCTGCCTGTTTATAAATCAAGAAGGCTGATTTATAAATCTTCCTGCTGGCCATTCCGTGTTATTTGAAGATTACCCAAGATCCCAAACCTCAGGCAAGTCTGGTTGAAGCAGGGCCCCACCTCTGATATTCGGGTTCACATGTGCTCAGGTGCACCAGGAGCTGGTCCCCCTACTCCCACTGTACACCAGTCCATCCTGGATCTCTTCCCCAGGAAGTGAGCCCTGAGCTAGCAGGACCCAGCTGTACCTGCAGTCGACCTTCCAAGGACAGGAACTGATGGGGTTGGGTAATTTCCCGTGTGTCTGAGGACATGCACCAGGCTCCAGTGGGCTGCATGCCTTATGCACGTAACCACCTGGAGGTGGTCTCTCCCCCCTGTAGCCTCCCTGCACTTGTATTGAAGGCTTCTTCTCCACTGCTTCCCAAATGGGTCATCAGGTCAGGAGCCTCAGCTGTTTTGCACCCCAGTCAGATTAAGTCTTCCACCCTGGAAAGTATTCACAATTTTGGGTCACTAATTCCAGTGACAGATAGAGACTAGAACACAGATACCTACATCTATGCTTTCGAATGGCAACTCTCCAGGGGAAAATGCTATAAAAGAAAGGACATTATTGGGTCAACTGACAAAATTGGAGTATGAATGGTGACTTGCATGACAGTACTGCACCAATGTCCAATTTACTGGAGTTGGTAACTCGATCCTGATAATGTAAGAGTATCCCTATTCTTAGAAAATGCTCCATGAAGTATTTTCAGAAAAAAATATGCACATAAGTTTACATACATACAAATTATAGATACTCATTCATTTATACACTTATAGGCAATGCTGTACACATGTGAACGAGAGAGAGGAGAGAAAGCAAACACATGACAGAACACAGGGGTAAAATGTTGCAATATGAGAATCGCGCTAAAGGGCATGTAAGTGTTCTTCATACTATTTTTAATTTCTGCAACTTTTCTATAAATTTGTATTATTTCAAAATAAAGTTGAAAAAGAGACAACTTCCAAACCTCACTTTTCTTTGCCTTTTCAAGGCACGCGTTATTTGTTTTAGGGTTTTCCATTTCAAGCCCTACCTTCGAGTTCATGTGAAGGCAGAGGCTGATAACACGGAAATACTACAGTCTGTGAATACGTCTCCGACCAACTTTACTTAAACTTGGAATCATGTTAGGTTACAAGGGATACCATTCAAAAAGGGTGTGTGTGATAAATGCATGTGCATTCGTGCCCCTTAATGAATACACACATTGTCCATCTCCCTCTGGTCTCTGTTGACTGACTTAAACCTGGAGATGTCGCCCCAATGCCACAGGGGTCGAGCAAGTATGTGAATGAGTCACACGGGTCAGGCATAAGAAAAGGCAACTCCTAGAAATACAAGAAAACTTTCTTGATTTTTACTAGACTATAGTGAAGCATAAAATAGCATAAAAACAGTATGATACTGCAAATTATATTTCTGAGTCATAGTGAAAAAAAAACTGAACAAAAGAAACATTTAATAATTCATTTTCCCATCCCCAAATCCCTCGGGTGTAGAGGATTCTAGTCTTATACCCCAGGGGGGATGGCCAGGAGCGTGTTCTTCATGTCGAGATGTGGAGGACGGAGTCCCACTGTGAGTCCTTTAACTGGGAGCAGTATTTTGTTTTACTCAGTTTCATAATGGAAAACAGCTGTTCACAAATATAGGTGCTCCCGAACATGGAGAGAATCTTTGCACAGTGGTTTTTATATTTCGGGTAGCTACTCGAGAGGTACTTGTAGAATTCCGGTATGCCCACCTTGTCGTACCTGGCTTTCAGTCCCGTGTTGCACTGCAGATCGATAACCTCCATCTGCAGCGTCTCGTGCACGCTCTCGATCTTCATGGAGAACGGGGAGCTGAACAGGGTCAGTTCACTCTCATAGAGTTTGAAATCAGACAGTCTTTTCTGGAATTCAGTCTTCAATTCCACAATTTTGGGGATGTAGTTCAGGCCATCGCTTTCGTTTCTGGAAACTGATTTCAGTGTGGGAAAGTGGGCCAGGTTATTCCTTGCCAAATGAGTTTCCCAAAGGCACAGTTTTGCCAGAAATGCCCGAATCAAGTCGTACATCTGCGTAACGATTTGTGAATGCCCTTGGAGAGAGATGTTCAAGGTGTTCAGGTGCATTGTCATATCCACCAGGAAGGCCAAGTCTCTGACCCAGTCTTGAGAGCTCAGCTGAGGCAGGGGCTTTCCTCTGGATGACATGAAGGAATCAATTTCTTCCAATGATTCAAAAAACCTTTTCAGCACCAGCCCACGACTGAGCCACTTAATCTCTGTGTAGTACAGAAGGCTGCCATATTGGCTGTCCAGTTCATAGAGCAAAGTTGTGAACTCGCTGTGGTTCAGTCCCCGGGAGCATATCCAGTTCACGGAGTTAACCACCACATTCATGACGTGGTCCATCTTTAACTTCTGAGCACAAAGTGATTCTGGGTGAATGATGCAGCAAACAGACTTCAGATCCGAACCCTTGCAAACCATGGCCACCTTGGACTTCAGTTTTGTAACAAGCCCGCTGTTCGCATCCACCATGGCAGGGGTGCCAGTTGAGGCCACACTTACTAATTTCGACCAGTCAATGTTAAACTTTTTAAGACTTTTCTCAACACGCAAAAATATCTCATTTCCAGATTTCGTACCTGTCATGGGCACCGTATCCAAAAGTTCTTCCGACACATCAAAATTCTCATCGACACCACGAATGAATATGGCCAACTGGGTGGTGTTATTAATATCTGTGATCTCATCGATCGCAATAGAGTATGCCACAAATGATTTGATTTTTTCACGTAACTTCTCCCATAAGTTTCCAGTCACGTCTTCTACAGGCTGCAAGGCAGCATTTTCATTTGGACTCACATTCGCAAGCACTTGTTTTTGCTCAGGACACACAATTTCTGATGACCCTAGGAGGTACTTTCTGAATCCTTTTTTTAACTCATGAAGCTTCTCATCACGCATCTTCTCAGTATACTGGTCATAGTGCTTACTGTGGTTGGTTTGATAATGGCGTCTTAGGTTGTATTCTTTAGACACAGACATGCTCTGTTTGCATATTAGACATGTAGGGACATTCTGCACTTCCACGAAGAAATATGCTCTCTCCCACTTTTCTTGAAACACACGGCCCTCTTGGTCTATCTTTCTTTTTCCCACTTTTGATAGAGACATGGAGACAAGAGATGTTTCACTTTTCTTTGAGCTCTACTATTAGAAAAACAGCAGCAAAAGCATGATGATAAACAGGACAGATCAAGTGGCGAGGGGGTGTGGTCCACTGGAGAGGAACCCGGCCCTGCAGACAGGGACGGCTGACACTCCGCCCCAGCACACTGCTGCTGGAGGGAAGTGGGCCCACTGAGGCTGGAGCTTCAGATTTCTAAAGGAAACCTGAAAATCAATTTTCACGAAAAAGCCTTGGCTTTTTTTTTACATTTTTTCTTTATTGATTTTAGAGAGAGGGAGAGAGAGATAAAAACATCAGTGACAGAGCCCTAGCTGGTTTGGTTCAGCGGTTAGAGCATCAGCCCACGGTCCAGAGAGACCTGGGTTCGGTTCCCGCTAAAGGCACGTGCCTCAGTTACAGTTTGATCCTGGCCCCGGGTTGGGGTCATGTGGGTGGCGGCCAGTCGATGTGTCTCTCTCACATCGATGCCTCTCTCTCTCTCTCTTCCTCCCTTCCTACCTCTCGCTCTATCTGAAGATGAATGCAAAAATGCCCTCAGGTGAGGATAAAAAAAATTTAAAAGAAAACACAAAAAAACATCAGTGAGAGAGAACATGGATTGGCCACCTCCTGCATGCTCCCCACTGGGGATTGGGCCCACAACCTGGGCATGTGCCCTGACTGGGAATCAAACTGGTGACCTGTTGGTGCATGGGTCGACGCTCAACCACTGAGCCACACCAGCTGGGCTCCCTAAATAGAAAAAAAAAATTTTTTTTATTGATTTTAGAGAAAAAGGAAGGGAGAGGGAAAGAGAAATAGAAACATCGATGAGAAAGAACACTGATTGGCCGCCTCCTGCATACCCCCCACTGGGGATCAGGCCTGCAACCTGGGCATGTGCCCTGACCGGGAATCGAACCGGTGACCTCTTGGTGCATGGGTCCACGCTCAACCACTGAGCCACACCGGCCGGGCTGGGCTCCCTAAATTTTTAATGTTGGGAACTAATTCCCATTTTTAAAAGGTATATGAGCCAAACAAAATACATTTTAGTGAAGTTCAGCAAGTAGCTCTGTTTGCCACATCTGGTTTAAACAGGAATGATTTGAAAGTATATTTGCATTTAACATACATTTTTTCATTTGGTTCTCAAGAGAACTTTGAAATCAGAGACGGGAATGAGCACGGAAGGCATATGATTTACCTGCTGTGACTTACAAAAGACACAGGTGATAGCCAGAGAATTGCACAGAACTTACATTTTAAATGTAAAGAACCTGGCCATGATGCAGGTAAGCTTTACTTCGGGAGAACAGACATAAAGGCTCACTTTTGGTAGACTGCCAATAGAAAATGAAATGCTTGAATTTGGCACCAAATTAAAAAATGTATATATGTGTGTGTGTGTGTATATATATGTGTATACACACACACACACACACACATAGAGACAGAAAGTCAACTTAGTGGTTGGTATGCCTGGGGCTGGGGGTGGGAACGGGAAATGACTGAAAATAGGGAGGAGGAATATTTGGGGGTCAATGGAAATGTTCTAATATCAGATTGTGGGGATAGCTGCACAACTCCCTAAATTTACTAAAAAACACCAAATTGTGTATGCTCTACACAAATGAATTTTCTGGTATGCAAATTATGCAATAAAGCTATTAAAATGTAAAAAATTATTTAGTATCCAGATGAGTTCAGGAGTAATAATTGAATGTTTAAAAAGAATATTTTCGTTTCCAAATTTTAAGTGAGGAGGTTCCCTAGTGATTCAAGCTCTTGAGAACACCTCTGCACCTTCTGCCTCACTCACCCTATAGGATATTTTGACTTGCTTGGAAAAATGCCAGGGGAGACATTAAAAATATTTAATCAGCAGAGTGCCTGGGGCATTGCTCAATCAGAACAGATGTCAATTCAGCACCGATGGGGGAGGGGTTGGGAGGTTTGGGAGCACCCATTCTGAACTGTGGGTCTCGGGGGTGGGGCTGGGGTGGCCAGGCAGTCACTTTCTACCAACTGAGACTGAGTGGTTCAGTACTATGAGACCTGACCATAAAGAGCGCACACATCAAGTCTGCTGTGTGAGGAAAAAACCTCGCTAAGAAAACTCAAGGAACAGTCTGGCAGGTTTGGCTCAGCGGTTAGAGCGTTGGCCTGCAGTCTATAGAGACCCGGGTTCGGTTCCCGCTAAGGGCATGTGCCTCAGTTGCTGTTTGTCCCTGGCCCTGGTTGGGTCGTATGGGTGGCAACCACTTGATGTGTCCCTTTCACGTCTGTCCCTTTCACGTCGATGTTTCTCTTTCTCTCTCTTCCTCACACTCTATCTGAACAAAATATCAAAAAAAAAAAAAAAAAAAAAAAAAAGTCCTCAGATGAGGATTAAAAAAAACAAACAAAAAAACTGAAGGAACAGAATTAAAAGACTTTGCAAAAAGCAGGAAAAATAAAATGCTTATAGAGAGCAGCATGCTTTGCTCTAGGCTCAAGAAGTAAGGACCCCGTGGTCAGTTCCCACCAAGACGCTTCCCTCTGCACAGCGGTGGCTGCAGTGATCTCACCACCACGAATACTCACCATTGCTAAACTCCAGGCCTGGAAGTGGTCTGAAGAGAAAGAGACATCGGTGAATGCAACAATGTTCATTTTTCCTCTCTTGTCCATTTAGTTCTATTTGACAGACTTTTGGGAGTGTCAACTCTATGCCAGGCAGTGGGAAATGAAAACTGAGACAGCTGCCCTTGATCACCCAGAAACAGGAACAGGGACACACGGCGCGCAGAAGCAGGGTGCGGTAAAATGAGCTGAGAGCAGCTCGGCCCAGCAGCTGACTGCAGGGACCCACTGTCCACCTCCTGGGGTACAGGTCCCTATGCCCCCCTCGCGGGGGAACTCTCACTTACCTAATGACTGTGAATTTGATAAACTCTGCAGCATCTAAGATCCTTCTCATGGAGCTGATTTCCAGGTAACCAGGGGCTTTGAATACCACGCCCGGGGGCATGCCATCGATGACCACGCAGCCAGGGTTGAATGTGATTTTCCTGTAGGGGACTTTCACAGGGAAATCCACTCCAATGGCTTCACCTGTGATGAGACAAACAGCAAAAAATTAGTTGCACTTGTCTTGTATTTAACCCAAAGCATGCTTTATCTTTTTTAAAAATATGTTTTTATTGATTTTTTTAGAGAGAGAGAAAGGGAGAGAGACATAGAAACATCAATGTGAGAGAGAAACATTGATCGGCTGCCTCCTGCTTGCCCCCCACTGGGGATCGAGCCCGAAACCCCAGCATGTGCCCTGACCGGGAATCAAACCTGGACCTCTCAGTTCGCTGAGCCACACGTGCCAGGCCAAACTATGCTTTATCTTTTTTTAAAAATATTTTTTCTTTATTGATTTTAGAGAGAAAGGAAGAGGGAGAGAAAGACAGAAACATTGATGAGAGAGAACATTGACTGGACGCCTCCTGTACGCCCCCCACTGGGGATCGGGCCCACAACATGGGCATGTGCCCTGACTGGGAATCAAACCGGCGACCTCCTGGTGCATGGGTCGAAGCTCAAACAGTGAGCCACACCAGCTGGGCTCCATGCTTTATCTTTAATGTTAAGATTTTATTATTATTATTATCAAAAATTTGTTTTTCTTTAGTGATTTTAGAGAGAGAGAAAGTGAGAGGGAGAGAGAGAGAGAAACATCGATAAGAGAGAACATCGATTGGCCACCTCCTGCATGCCCCCCACTGGGGATCGGGCCCACAACATGGGCATGTGCCCTGACCAGGAATTGAACCAGCAACCTCTTGGTGCATGGGATGGCGTTCAACCTCTGAGCCATACCAGCCAGGCTTTAATGTCAAGATTTTAAATCATTCGCATCAACTGACAACAGTAGTGATCAGCCATTATTACTTTAATTTCCAGTAGTACTATGACGTATGAATAATCTTACTGATTTTGAAATTGTCAATGGGTAGTATAGCAGATTCAGTTTCTCTATCCATTAAATTGGTATTACCATAGTATCTATTGAAAAATATTTTTGTGAGGATTAAATGTTCAATCACATGTTGAGCACTAAAAACAATGCTTAGAAATGGAGATAAGCAACCTAACAGATGCTGAGTTTAAAATACTGCTTATAAGGATGCTCAATGAACGTAGTGAGGGCCTCAAGAGCATAAAAAAGGACCAGTCAGAAATGATGGATGCACAGTCAGAATTGAAGGAGGCATTAACTGAAATAAAGAATAATTTACACAGCTTCAATAGTACAGTACGTAAATCCAAGAAGCAAACCATCGATTTGGAATATAAGAAAGCAAAAAACGCCCAATCAGAACAGCAAAAGTAAAAAAGAATCCAAAAAAATGAGGATAGTGTAAGGAGCCTCTGGGACAACTTCAAGCGTGCCAACATTCGCATCTTGGGGGTGCCAGAAGGAGAAGAGCGAGAAAAAGAAATTGAAAACCTGTTTGAAACAATAATGACAGAAAACTTCCCTAACTTGGTGAAGGAAACAGACATACAAGTCCAGGAAGCACAGAGAGTCCCAAACAAGATGAACCCCAAGAGGCCCACACCAAGACACATCATCATCAAAATGCAAAAGGTTCAAGACAAAGAGAGAATCTTAAAAGCAGCAAGAGAAAGGCAGCTAGTTACCTACAAGGGAGTTCCCATAAGGCTGTCAGCTGATTTCTCAAAAGAAACTTTGCAGGCCAGAAGGAAGTGGCAAGAAATATTCAGGGTGATGAAAAGCAAGAACCTACAACCAAGATTACTCTAACCTGCAAAGCTGTCATTTAGAATCGATGGCCATATTAAGACTTTCCCAGACAAGAAAAAGTTAAACCAAACCGTTATTATATGAAATGATGAAGGGTCTTTTTGAAGAAAAAGATAAAATATATGTACAAACAAAATGGCAATGAATACATATCTATCGACAATGGAATCTACAAACAAAATGAACAGGCAGAACAGAAACATTCTCACAGATACAGAGAACATTTTGTTGGTTGCCATATGGGAGGGGGGTTGGGGGAATGGGTGAAAAGGTGAAGAGATTAAGAAGTACAAATTCATTGCTAGACTGACAAACCCCAAAGGGAAAGGGGTTGGAGGGGGTGGGAAGAAATAAACCAAAGAACTTATGTGCATAACCAATGGACACAGACAACAGTGTGGGAAAAGGCGGGAGGGGGGTGGGAGTGGGGAGGAGGGGGTCAATGGGGGAAAAATGTGGAACATCTGTAATACATTTTACATCCAACAATAAAGATTTTAAAAAAATAAAAAAAATAAATAAAAACAATGCTTAGCCATGGTAAGAATGCAGTAAATCAAAGATAGCAATTATTATTATTATTATTGTAAATAGTGTTTCCATGTAAAAGCTCTTCAGTAAAAATACACACTAATTTTGATCATAGCTCCTTCACAGAAAGATCGGTTTCTTAGGTAATGTATTCAGTTAAAAAGAAATATTTTAAATATATAAGCTTTGGATATGTAATGATATAAAAACTTACCAAATTTTCGGCTAAAGAGGTCATTGACTTGTTCTCTTAGTTGTTTTATCTTTTCAATGCTTGATAATCTTTCCTTCTCATTATCTAAAAATAATTAAATAAATAAGCAAACTAGGGTTATTGACAGATTTGCCCCCAAGAAAGGTGTTGGAGGAAATGCCTGTTAGCATATGAAAAAGCATTTTACCTGGCTTATCATTCAGTTTAGTTTTACCAACAATTAAGCATTTTAGAAATTCGTAAATGGAAGCCATTACAAATGGTATAGAATTTTCCAAATTATAACTCTATATAAACATACTACATACTACTTTCGGGAACATTTTCAGTATCATGAAAGACAAGGATGTTCACTTTAACCCCAACTCTTCAACATTATAATAGAAATCCAATGCAATATGACATGTAAAGAAAATAAGATGTATTAAGGTTAGAAGATATTTTTAAATACTTAAAATTTTTATTCTATTTAATTTGAGTAAATAAAGCAACTACATGATTCAAAATTCAGGAGATATAAACTAGTACATAGTGAAACGTCTCTCTCCCATCCCTATCTTAGCTCTTGGTTTCCTTCCCTGGAGGAATTATGGTATTAGATTCTGTGGTAGCTCTCCACATATATTTTACATACATTTATTACTTGATAGGAAGCAAATAAATTTCACCTCTGTGGCCAATTCCGATTCAATGGTAGCTATTGCTTGGAGCCATCTGCCCTGAGGTGCACTTTCCAGGTATCGCCAGGGCATGGCTGGGAGATCAATATCTCTGATTAACAATGTTTGATATAAGCAAGGTAATTCAGTGTGGGAATCTGCAGCATAGTTTATATTCCTGAATTAAAGTCATTCCATAGTGGACAGGTAAACTAAGCCTCCCCACTCCTCACCTCCCCCAGAATCCAAGAGACTAGTCCAATGTCATAATATAGTCAAAACATAACAAAATAAAAAATATAATATAAATGTGATAAAGCCAGATAAACTTCCATACCTGGAACTGTCACCTGAACAATGTTAAGATCTTCAACACCTGCTGCAGAACTTGCAATATTGGATGAATCTGTGTTTCCTTAAAACAGAAATTTAAAATTAGGCTAATTTTCCTCTAAAAATGTGAAATGCCACTACTCAGAAGCCCAGAATGAAAATTTTAACATCCTGAGAACATTTAGCTGCAAGAAAACAAGACAGCTTGGCATGAATCACTATTCGAGTCTCCGCGGTTCAATGGTGATGTCAAGGGGCACAGGGCACACCGCTTTCATTTAGTTCTTATCCCCAGGACTTTGTTCAGTCAGTCTAACTAGATTTTAAAAGAAGGATGTTTAAAAGTATATTTCCTTTGTTTCTATTCTCAGTTTAAAAGGGGGTAAAAGGAACTAAGACATATAAATGTGTCTAAGAGGACATTTAAGTAGCAGACAGACATCCTATGAAAAACGATTTGACAGTCACAGAAACAAACACTCTGGCAGGGTTCATGTAAAAGCTGAGTCGATGTTAGCATGTATTTTGGTCAAAGGATAAACACAACATTCATTTCTAGGTGAGAAATGTAAACGAGACTGTCCAGTCCTCTCCCAGGAACTCGAAGCCCAGTCCGTATGTTGTGTGAATGATCATTTGGGCGTTTGAGATTATGCATCAGAAGAGCAAGACCTTAGAGGGACGCCAGGAGCCACACTGGCAACAAAAGCCCTCCGGTTTATCCAAAGTGCTCCATGCTGCTTCAAACACAGAACTTTTGGAGAAAATGTGCTTCCCTTTTCCTTAAAATTGGTCATTTTTAAATCAGTCCAATAAATCCTGGAAGGTCTAGTTCTTAACAGGGAGGCTCCACAGTAAAGGCTTTACTGAAACTACTGGGGGCGCCAGCAGCATCTTGACATAAGAGAGATCTTCCAGAGTGCTTAACACCAGCGAGCCTCCGAAACACCCAGAACCAAAGCCAGGTCATCAGAATCAACAAGAAAGAGCGTGCCAGAAGATGAGGCATTATGTTCTAATAAAGTGCTAATGTTTTATCATTTTTTTTTTTTTTATCCTCACCCGAGGACATTTTTCCATTTTTTGTACAGTTAGAGTGGAAGGGAGAGAGAGGAAGAGATAGAGAGAAAGAAACATGGATGTGAAAGGGACACATCGAGTGGCTGCCACCCACACGACCAACCAGGGCCGGGGACAAACTGCAACCGAGGTACATGCCCTTAGCGGGAACCGAACCCGGGTCTCTCAGGACCACAGGTCGACGCTCTAACCGCTGAGCCAAACCGGCCAGGGCTAATGTTTTATCATTTAAACTGACTCCTCAGAACATAGAAATGTGTCACAAAACACACCAAGCGCAATTTAAAAAGTGATCACAACCCAATGATAATTAATGCACAAATTGGCAGTTAATCCATTTTAATAACTCTGCTGCACATTTCAAATAAATGGATGACATTTTAACTAAGGGGTTCAAATCTTAACTCCTCTAAAGCTCTTACTTTACATCATAAACAATGACTCTTTTTTACTTTTATTTTAAATTTTTTTCTTTATTGATTTTAGAGAGAGAGGAAGTGAGAGGAAAAGAGAGAGAGAAACATCAATGAGAGAGAATATCGACTAGCTGCCTCCTGCATGCCCCCGACTGGGGATCGGGCCCACAACCTGGGCATGTGCCCTGACCAGGAATCAAACCGGTGACCTCTTGGTGCCTGGGTCGACACTCAACTACTGAGCCACACCGGCCCGGCCAATGACTCTATTTTAATTGAATGCTCAATAACCTTGTAAGTTAGTTTAAAACTGCTCATCTGGTTTATATGCTACAAGCCATCATGATAATATTTGTCAGATGAAGGACAAGAACACTCCTACAATGAACTTCTAAACGCTTTTAATCCATTGCTAGATGCAAGCTTGTTAGTGGCTAAATTATTTGCCAAATAATTTATGGATAATTCTTTTATTTATTTATTTGTTTGTTAATCCTCACCAGAGGATATTTTTCCTTTGATTTTTTAAGATAGAGTGGAAGGGAGAGAGGGAGGGAGAGAAAGAGAGAGATAGAAACATTGATTGGTTGCCTTCAGCATGACCTCGACCAGGGCTGGGGATTGAATGCAGGTATGTGCCCTTGACCGAGAACCCTTTGGTCCATGGGCTGACATTCTAACCACTGAGCCAAACCAGCCAGGGCATGGTTAGTTTTTTTCTTTATTGATCTTTTTTAGAGAGAGAGGAAGGGAGAGGATGAGAGAGAACATCGACTGGCTCCCTCCTCCGCGTCCCCACTGGGGATTTGGCCTACAACCTGGGCATGTGTCCTGACTGGGAATCGAACTGGTGACCTCTTGGTGCATGGGTCGACACTCAACCACTGAGCCACACCGGCCAAGCTGGTTAATTCATTTAAAAGCTTCTTCTTTTTTTTTTTTTTTAATTTTTTTTTTTTATCCTCACCTGAGGACATTTTTCCATTTTTTGTTCAGGTAGAGTGGGAGGGAGAGAGAGGAAGAGAGAGAGAGAAACATCGATGCGAAAGGAACACATCGAGTGGCTGCCACCTGCACAACCGAGCAGGGCCGGGGACAAACTGCAGCCAAGGTACGCGCCCTTAGCGGGAACCGAACCCGGGTCTCTCAGGACCGCAGGCCGACACTCTAACCGCTGAGCCAAACCGGCCAGGGCCATTTAAAAGCTTCTGTCCAGCCCTGGCCAATTTGGCTCAGCAGTTAGAGCGTCGGCCTGCGGTCCAGAGAGACCCGGGTTCGGTTCCCACTAAGGGCACGTGCCTCGGTTGCAGTTTGTCCCCGGCCCTGGTTGGTTGTGCGGGTGGCAGCTACTCGATGTGTCCCTTTCACGTCGATGTTTCTCTCTCTCTCTTCCTCTCTCTCCCTCCCACTCTATCTGAACAACAACAAAAAATGTCCTTGGGTGAGGATAAAAAAATAAAATAAATAAATAAAAGCTTCTGTCCAGACCCGCTGGTGTGGCTCAGTTGGTTGAGCATCATCCCATGTACCAGGAGGTCAGGACACATGCCCAGGTTTCCAGCTTGATCCCCAGTAGGGAGTGTGCAGGAGGCAGCTGACTGATGTTTCTCTCTCACTGATGTCTCTATCTCTCTCTCCCTCTCCATAAAATCTATCTATCTATCCAATAAATCTATCTATCTATCTATCTATCTATCTATCTATCTATCTATCTATCTATCTATCTATCTGATATACACACTTCTATCCAGCACGAAGGGTGATTCAGCCTACGCTTCCTGTGCAATCATGGTGCCCCGCAGACAGCACAGGAAAGAGGCTACTTTGGAACATTCTGGCATTCAAATCACTGCTGGACTTTGGTTCTGATGTGGACTTCTTTCTTTTATAGTGTTAAAAATACTTCAAGGAAACAATCAATAGAACAATGAATAAATTTTGATTTATACATACAATGGAATAGTAGTCAGACTTAAAAAGGAAGTTTGACATATGCTGCAACCTGGATAAATTCTGAAGACTTTAAATGAAAAATGCCAAACACAAAAGGTTATATACTGTATATGTGAAATCAATACGAAATATGTGGACTAGGTGAAGCAACAGACAGAAGTGAGTCGCTGGTTGGCAGGGCTGGCTGAGTGGGAGACGGAAAGGGAGAGGAACAGCCTAATGGGTATGGGGTGTTACTTTGGGGCGATGAAAATGTTTCGGAACTAGATAGAGGTGATGTTGGTTGCATTACACCGTGAATGTACAAAAAGCCATTTAATTAATTGTTCACTCTAAACACTGATGTGAGAGAGAAACATCGATCGGATGTCTCCTGCACGCCCCCTACTGGGGATCGAGCCTGCAACCCGGGCCTGTGCCCTGACCAGGAATCAAAACGGAACCTCTCAGTCCATCAGAGGATGCTCAATCCACTGAGCCACACTGGCTGGGCGCATCTTATTTTCTTATCCATTCAGCCACCCTATATCTTTTGTTTGTTTGTTTGTAATAATTGCCAGTTTTATTCCTTTGGCCAAGAGATCCAGAGGTGATTGGAGGTTTACATTTTAATAGTTATTTCATCAGGAGTTAGATGCCCCCATTGCTCTTATAAGCTGGTTGCACATTATTTGATTTCCTTACTTATTACAAAATTTTAATTGTCTGTGACACTAGTTCACTAAATAATACATATAAGCAAAAAAGAAAACTCACACCACACAGAAATAAGCAATTAAGTTTTTGATGTATGTATGTATGCATGTATGCACACACACACGCATGCACGCACGCACACAATTTGGGATTTTTATCCTACGTCTGTGAGCTGATACTAAATAAGCTACTTTGTAACTTATGTTAGTTTACAATATGGAATGAAGATACTTTCATGCATTTGTATGAAACTTCCCAATTAAAAAACAGACCTGGAGAATAGGTCAACATATGAAATCCAGTAAGATGCTGGTTAACAAGAAAACTATCTAAAATAAAATTCCACCTGATGATTAAAAGTAAAGCGAAGGTAAAAAGATATGTCACAAAATGCTAACAGAAAGAAAGCAGGGGCTAGATTTTACTATCAGGTTAAAAAAAAAAAAGAATTTAAGGCCTAAAGCACACAGGATAAGTCGTCTGAGTGAATGTCTGCTTCCAACGCATCATCACCATCTAGTTTCTTAGCTTCTTATTCTTCCCTAAACCACCCAACTCATCTGCTCCTCTTAGTGTTTCCTCAGGGTCCAAATGCCTGACGGGAGTGTCCTCTTTAAATCCCTGGACAGGTTGGGTCAGCGCTTCTGAGGACTCCCTCTGCCTCCCGGTGTACACTGTCTTCCCAAGGCTGAGGACTTCCCTCTGCCTCCCGGTGTACACTGTCTTCCCAAGGCTGAGGTTTCCTTCTGCCTCCCGGGGTACACTGTCTTCCCAAGGCTGAGGTTTCCTTCTGCCTCCCGGTGTACACTGTCTTCCCAAGGCTGAGGCTTCCCTCTGCCTCCCGGGGTACACTGTCTTCCCAAGGCTGAGGACTTCCCTCTGCCTCCCGGTGTACACTGTCTTCCCAAGGCTGAGGTTTCCTTCTGCCTCCCGGGGTACACTGTCTTCCCAAGGCTGAGGTTCCCTCTGCCTCCCGGTGTACACTGTCTTCCCAAGGCTGAGGTTCCCTCTGCCTCCCGGTGTACACTGTCTTCCCAAGGCTGAGGACTTCCCTCTGCCTCCCGGTGTACACTGTCTTCCCAAGGCTGAGGTTTCCTTCTGCCTCCCGGGGTACACTGTCTGCCCAAGGCTGAGGTTCCCTCTGCCTCCCGGTGTACACTGTCTTCCCAAGGCTGAGGTTCCCTCTGCCTCCCGGTGTACACTGTCTTCCCAAGGCTGAGGCGTCCCTCTGCCTCCCGGGGTACACTGTCTTCCCAAGGCTGAGGCTTCCCTCTGCCTCCCGGTGTACACTGTCTTCCCAAGGCTGAGGACTCCCTCTGCCTCCCGGGGTACACTGTCTTCCCAAGGCTGAGGCGTCCCTCTGCCTCCCGGGGTACACTGTCTTCCCAAGGCTGAGGCTTCCCTCTGCCTCCCGGGGTACACTGTCTTCCCAAGGCTGAGGACTTCCCTCTGCCTCCCGGGGTACACTGTCTTCCCAAGGCTGAGGACTTCCCTCTGCCTCCCGGGGTACACTGTCTTCCCAAGGCTGAGGACTTCCTTCTGCCTCCCGGGGTACGCTGTCTTCCCAAGGCTGAGGCTTCCTTCTGCCTCCCGGGGTACACTGTCTTCCCAAGGCTGAGGACTTCCTTCTGCCTCCCGGGGTACACTGTCTTCCCTTCTGCCTCCTGGGGTACATCTTCTGAAGCGTGGTCTTCCTCAACCTTTGGCACATTCTGTGGTTTGCCTTCATTTTCTTCGCAAGACTTCTGCATGTTGACCACTTTCTACTCTTTCCTCTTGGAATAAATCCTTCAGGGATCCAGGGGACTTTTCTCCTTCCCTCACTCGATTTGTGTCGCGCCCCAAAGACCAAGCGTCCTGAAAGGATCCAGGGCACTTTTCTTCTCCAGCAATAGGGACGGAGCACCACCCTACTGGACCCTTAATCCATTTACCTTTAAAGTAACTGTTGATAGATATGTAGTTACTGCCATTTTATTATTCATGTTTTTGTTTCCCCTCCTCTCTCCTCCTCCTCTTCCTCCCCCCCCCCCTTCCCCCTCCTCCTCCAAGTCCCATTAACATTTCTTGTAATACTGGTTTGGTGCTCATGAACTCCTTTAGTTTTTCTTGTCTTGACTTTATTAGTCCTTCAATTCTAGACGGTAGCTTTGCTGGGTAAAGCAGCGATTTTCACCCTGTGTGCCATGGCACACCGGTGTGCTGCAAGACTTTTTAAAACATGCAATACTTGCCTGGTTGGTGTGGCTCAGTGGCTGAGCATCGACCCATGCACCAAGAGGTCGTTGGTTCGATTCCCGGTCAGGGCACATGCCCAGGTTGTGGGCCAAATCCCCAGTGGGGGCATGCAGTAAGCGGCCAATTAATGTTCTCTCTCATTGATGTTTCTATCTCTCTCTCCCTCTCCCTCCCTCTCTCTCTAAAATCAATAAAGAAAAAACGAAACAAAAAACAAAATAAAACATGCAATATCTGACTATTTAGTCAGGGGCACGGACCTCTTTTCCCTTAGATTGTCAAATAAAAAAAAATGACAACAGCCAACACAATAGCTGTTTGATGTGAATGAATCAAAATTATACCTATTTTTGAAGAACAAAAATATGAACAATAAAATGGCAATTAATACATATCTATCAACAACTGAATTTACAAACAAAATGAGCAAGCAGAAGAGAAACAGATTCATAGATACAGAGAACTTTTTGTTGCTTGCCAGATGGGCAGGGGCAGGGGGAATGGGTGAAAAAGATGAATAAATTAAGAAGTACACATTGGTTGTTAGGCTGATGAACCTCAAAGAGAAGGTGGGGGAGGGCAGGATGAGATAAATCAAAGAACTTCTATGCATATATGCATAACCAATGGACACTGACAATAGTGTGGGGAAGGCAGGAGGGGGTGGGATTGAGGAGGAGGGGGTCACTGGGGAAAAAAGGGGGGGCATCTGTAATACATTCAACAATAAAGATGAGTTAAAAAAAAAACACAAAACCAAAAAAAACCTGAAACAAAATTATACCTATTTTTTTTTTTTTTTGGCAGATCAGCAAAGAATACATGTTTTGGTGTGCTGCAGAATTTTAGTAATTAGTTTATGTGTGCCATGAGATGAAAATAGTTGAAAATTGTTGGGGTAGAGTAATCTTGATAGGAGGTCCTTGCTTTTCAGCACTTTGAATATTCTGTGCCAATCCCTTCTGGCCTGCAAGTCTTATGTGAGCTCTTTGTAGGTATCTGCTTTTCTCTTGCTGCTTTTAATATTCTTTCCTTTGACTTTAAATTTTGGCATTTTAATTATGATGTGTCTTGGTGTGGGCCTATTTGAGTTCATCTTGTTTGGGACTTCCTAGACTTGTATATCTATTTCCTTTGCCAAGTTAGGGATGTTTTCAGTCATCATTTCTTCAAATAGGTTTTCAATTCCTTGCTGTCTCTCTTCTCCTTTTGGTACTCCTATGAGGCAAATGTTGTTATGCTTGATGTTGTCCCAGAAGCACCTACACTGCCCTCATTTGTTTGGATTCTTTTTGCTGCTCTGACTAGGTGTTTTCTCCTACCTTATATTCTAAATCGTTGATTTGATTCTCTGCTTCATTGTAATGTATTCTTCACTTCAGTTATTGTATTCTTCATTTCTGACTGGTGGTTCTTTTTTGTTTTCTATCTCCATTTTTGTGTTTCCTATGTCTTTGCTGAAGTCCTCACTGAGATCATTGATATTCTTTATATTCAGTGTTTTTAACTCTGCATATGGTAGACTGCTTGTTTCCATTTTGTTTAATTCTTTTTCTGAAGTTTTGTTGTGTTCTTTCATTTGGGACATGTTTGTCTCCTTCTTTTGGCTGCCTCCCTGTGTTTTTTCTTTCTTTCTTTTTTTTTTATCCTCACCCGAGGACATTTTTCCATTTTTTGTTCAGATAGAGTGGGAGGGGGAGAGAGAGAGAGAGACATCAATGTGAAAGGGACACATTGAGTGGTTGCCACCCGCACGACCCAACCAGGGCCTGGGACAAACTGCAACCAAGGTATGTGCCCTTAGCGGGAAATGAACCCGGGTCTCTCTGGACTGCAGGCTGATGCTCTAACCACTGAGCCAAACCAGCCAGGGCTCCCGGTGTTTTTTCTATGTATTAGGTAGAGCTGCTATGTCTCCCAGTCTTGGTAGCATGGTCTTATATAGTAAGTATCCTGTGGGGCCAACTGGTGCAGTCTCCCTGGGCACCTGAGCTGGTGCTCCAGGTCTGTCCCTTGTGTGGGTTGTGTGTGCCCTCCTGTCGTAGTTGAGTTGTGACTGCTGTTGGCACAGTAGTGGGAGGTCGACTGACCCTCAGGCTGATTGGTTATGAGGACTGGCAGTGACTACAGTCGGGGAGCTGTTGTGCAGGGGCTGACCCTATGGAGCAGGATTCACTTTGGCAGGGCTCTGGTGCCTGCAAAGCCTGCTCTTTAGGAGTAGAATTTGTTGAGGTGGTTGGGTGGTACTCTGGTGTGGTCTGAAGCTGGCCACCAGGTGTGCTGGTTCTAGGGCCTCTTAGAAGGGATTTTGGTCTAGGCCAAGTTAAGCCACTGCCTGTGCCTAGCCTGGGGCCACCTGGTATGAGCTTCAAAATGATCTGCAGATGGCTGCCACTTGTGCTGGGCTTGGAAGTGCCTAGGAGAGGCTGAGTTGCAACCTGGGGCTGGCTGATGCTGGTCCAGGCTTGAGGCTGCTTAGCAAGAGGTACAGTGACTGCTGAGGCCAGATGCTGCTTGTTTGGGGTTTGTGAATCTTCAAGAGATTTTAGGAAAGTCTGCAGTATGAGCCAAGACAGGAAAAGCCAATGAAAGCAGCTTGGGTGGGCCTGCAAGTTGGGTAAGGTAGGGTCTCAGGGAATCAACAGGTCAGGCTGAATGGTGTTAGCCAGGCTGATGGAGACTCAGATATGGCATTTGCCAGGGCCTGCAGGCTGTGGTGGGAGGGAGGGCTCAACAAAGGAGCAATGGTGCCTGCTAGTACTTCTATTTGGGAGAAAGCTGTCCATCCAGCCCTTGCCTTGAAGCCAGACAATTCAGTTCCTTCCTATATGTGTCTGGCTCCTTTTGAGCTGCTGCCCCAGTGCTGGAGCTCAGAGGGAGTGAGTCCGAGTAAGTCCACGCACGGGTCTTGAAGAGGAACACCGGGGCCTCCAGCAGTGCTCTGTCTCACTCAGCCACCGTCTACTGATTCTCACAGCCAGAAGTCTGGGACTTCTCTTCCCAGCACTGTAACCCCGGCTGGAGAGCCTGGCCCGGGTCTGCAACCCCTCGCTCCTCGTGGGGCCTGTGAAGCTGCGATATCCCTCCAGATTTTACACTGTCACACGTGGGTGTGGGACCAGCCTGTTCTGCATCTCTGCCCCTCCTACCAGTCTCCAAGTGGCTTCTTTTATATATCCTTAGTTATAGGACTTCTGTTCAGCTACACTTCAGGGGGTTCTCAATGATGGTTGTTCTGTAGTTTAGTTGAAGTTTTGATGTGGTTGTGGGAAGAGGTCAGCACAGCATTTCCCTACACCGTTATCTTGACTGGACGCCTGTATAATGCTTTTTCTAAACAAAACTGAGATCCCACTGTAAATGGTGATTTCTTTTAGTCCCCCTCTGTTTTGGGTATAACTTGTCTTGAGCCAGACAGTTTTGCTTCTCACTGAACATACTGTGAGCATTTTCTCATATGGATCACCACAATCCACTCTCTACATGTTGGGCACCTAAATTGCACCCACTTTTTCTGTTATAAATAATGACAAAGAGGTTTCTTTCCCCCTAAAGTAATCAACTCAATGAAACCATTTTTAGAATTCAAAAAACCGAAGCACAACGGAATCATCAAATTCGGATGGGAATAACATTCATTCAATTTCAAAATTCCCCCAATCATGGCAGAACCAGTTCAGACCCTGTGATATTTCAAGGGAAGTAACATTATCTCTAAGTAAAAAGGACTCACTCAGAAAAAAAAGTACATACAACTTCGAAGGCATAAATGTGTATATATGTATTTTTTATCCTCACTGAGGACATTTTTGCATTTCAGATAGAGGGGGAGGAAGAGAGGAGGAGAGAGAGAGAGAGAAACAGCGACGAGAGAGAGACATGTTGACTGGTTGCCACCCACATGACCCAAACCAGGGCAGGGGACAAACTGCAACCGAGGTTCATGTCCCCAGAGGGAACCAAACCCGGGACTCTTTGGTATGCAGATCGATGCTCTAACTGCTGAGCCAAACTGGCCAGGGTCATAAATGTATATTTTAAAAGCATAATTTGTATGTTTATACACTATTATCCAAATACTACTATCTTCTTGTTAAATCATGTTTCCACTGGAAAAATAAAACTGCAATTTTATAATTCAGATTTTACTAATTCAAAATCACATCGGTTAATTTAGTGCTAGGATAAAATTATATACCTAATTACTAATTCTGAGACCTCATAACATTATTTTTATTATCTTTTAATGTATATAGTCTTTTTTTTCAGTCCTCACCTGAGGACATTTTCCATTTTTGTTCAGATAGAGTGGGAGGGAGAGAGAGGAAGAGAGAGAGAGAGAACTATCGACATGAAAGGGACACATCGAGTGGCTGCCTCCCGCACAATCCCAGCCAGGGCCGGGGACTAATCGCAACTGAGGTATGTACCCTTGACCAGAATCGAACCCGCAATTTATTGGTCTGTGGGCCAATACTCTAACCACTGAGCAAAACTGGCAGGGTTGTTTATAGTCTTTTACAAATACGTTTTTATTGATTTTAAAGAGAGAGGAAGGGAAAGGGAGAGAGAGAAAAATATTGATGTGAAAAAGGAGTATCGATTGGCAGCCTTCTACACGCCCCCTACTGGGGATGGAGCCCGCAGCCTGGGCATGTGCCCTGACTGGAAATCGAACCGGTGACCTTTCAGTGCATGGGACGACACTCAATCCACTGAGCCACACTGGTCAGGGCTCATAACAATATTAAAGACATAAAATAAAAGAAGTTCTCATATTAAAAAGACACTATAAATCAGCTCGTGTTTCAGCATCAGAGGTAAAAATATTTTTAGCAGATTACTAAATGGATAACAAAGAAAAAAATAGTACATTCTTTGAACTAAATGGGCTGAAAATCCACAAACTTCAGGATAAATGGTCTCATTACTATGAAAAATAAAAAACTTAAAAAGCAAACTTTTAACTATAAAGACTATCCTTAGAATATAACTACTGGGTATAGTATTCAAACAAATATTGAACAAAAAAGTCACCCCAATAAATTTAATTTAAAAAGATTTAGTCTTAGAAAAATATTATGCCACATTAAAAAAAAACAACACCCTTGTTCTGGCCGGTTTGGCTCCGCGGTTAGAGCGTTGGCCCGTGGACAATGAGTTGCAGGTTTGATTCCGGTCAAGGGTACGTACCTCAGATGCGATTCATCCTGGGCCCTGGCTGGGGTCGTGCAGGAGGCAGCCACTTGATGTGTCCCTTTCATGTTGGTATTTCTCTCTTTCTCTCTCTCCCTCCCATTCTATCTGAACAAAAGTGGAAAAATGTCCTCGGGTGAGGATTAAAAAAACAACCACCACCAAATCAAACATATCAGTTTGTAAGTATTTTATTTCATTTTATTTTATTTTTTGAATCCTCACCTGAGGATATTTTTTTGTTTCTCAGCAGATAGAGTGGGAGGAAGAAAGGGAGAGAGAGACAGAGAGAGAGACAGAGAGACAGAGACATCGATGTGAGAGAGACACATCAGTTGGCTGCCTCCCGCACGCCCGACCAGGGCTGTGGATGAACCACAACTGAGGTACGTGCCCTTGACCTAAATCGAACCCGAGACTCATTGGTCTGAGGGCTGACGCTCTAACTGCTGAGACAGACCAGCCAGGGCAGTTTGTAAGTATTTTAAAGAGGATAATCTTACATAGTGAATTGTATAAATCTTTTTAAAAAAAGCACACTTTGAAGTTCACATCCTTTAGATATTTGCACTTACACTGAGCTCACTGACTCGGGCCTGATCCGTGTTACTTGACAGCTGTGCACCACACTGGTGGGGGGAAGTGGTCCTTTCCTTCCTTTTCCTCCCCCTGCCCCGCCCCCTTCGTCGTCCCCCGGGACAGAGGCCGTGTGCGCCCCCCCCCCCCCCCCCCCGACTTGCACGTCCCAGCTCAGTGTAAAGCCTGGAGCGCTGGACTTGCAGGAACCGCTGGCCGCAGGAACCGCTGGCCGCAGTGCTCACACGTCAGTTCCGACCTCCCCACAACACCCTCCCAGAAGAAATGGAGACAGCAGTGCGGATGGCGAGGCTTCTGGCGACTAACCTTCCACTTTCACCTCAGCGTCAGGGTCCTCACTCGACTCTGAAGGGACAAGCTGAGTAGAATCTTGAAAAAAAATTTCTAAAATGACATTCATTGTTATGTATTCTCATGTTCCACCATTTTACTGCTCCTATACCAAAAATGTAGCTTATCCCGGCATCTAAAATACACTTTGTACTTAATAAAGGTATTAACATAAAGGTAATTTTAATTTTAGAAGGGATAATAGGATGACAAAGGATAATCTTATAAGGGTCAAGAAGAGATAAGAAACTTTCAGTCCGGCCAGTGTGGCTCAGTGGTTGAGCATCGACCCAGGCACCAGGAGGTCGCCGGTTTGATTCCTGGCCAGGACTCATGCCCAGGTTGTGGGCCCGATCCCCAGTGGGGGGCATGCAGGAGGCGGCCGATCGATGTTCTCTCTCATCGATGTTTCTATCTCTCTCTCCCTCTCACTTTCTCTCTCTCTAAAATCAATACAGGAAAAAAAAAAAAAGAAACTTTCAGATAATTATCAAATAATATGAAGTTACCCATATAAATGGATACAGAATATCATTCTATTTGAGCCAATGGAATTCATGTGATTATAGTGTTTTCTTGTCATCAGGAATTACTATGACCAAAAAAAGCCATTTGTGCCCTGGCCCGTTTGGCTCAGAGGTTAGAGCATCAGCCCTCTGACTGAAGGGTCTCGAGTTTGATTTCAGGTCAAGGACGTGTACCTGGGTTACAGGTTTGCTCCCCGGCCCCGGTCAGGGTCATGTGGGAGGCAACCAATCGATGTGTCTCCCTCACATTGATGCTTCTCTCTCTCACTCCCCATCCCTCCCTTCTACTTTATCTAAAATTGAATGAAAAAATATCCTTGAGTGAGGGTTAAAAAAAAAAGCCATTTGCCAGCAGCCCCTGGGTGTTCAGTCTGTCCTCACAGGGCAGCACAATCACTTTTTTTGGTAGACAAGGGTTACAACAGAGTATTAAATTCTACATACTGATAAAAGCCAGGCTAGGATATCTCATGTAACTCTCTGGCTCATTTTAGAAAGATTTGGCAAAGCTTACATTAATTGTTAGTAAAGACTCGAATTCAGCCCTGGCCAGTTTGGCTCAGCGGTTAGAGCGTCGGCCTGCGGTCCGGAGAGACCCGGGTTCGGTTCCCGCTAAGGGCACATACTTCGGTTGCAGTTTGTCCCCGGCCCTGGTTTGTCGTGCAGGTGGCAGCCACTCAATGTGTCCCTTCACGTCGATGTTTCTCTCTCTCTCTCCCTCCCACTCTATCTGTACAAAAAATAGAAAAATATCCTTGGGTGAGGATAAAAAAAAAAAAAAGACTCGAATTCAAAACTAATTTTAGCTCTTTTGACATTGCACCATTGCTATGTAAGATGGAACCTTTGGGAAAAAATGGGTGAACGTACAATTCTCAAAGCATCTTGTGAATCTGTAATTATTTCAGAATAAAAAGTAAAACACAAATAAGTCAGATCTGTTGTAAATGGGCTTCCCATTATAGTGTGATAATAAAAATGTTTTCAGAAATAAAGCAATTCAAAGGCCAACATCCAATGACATCTTTCTGACTCTCACTCAACACCAATTCTACAACTTTTTCCTATGTAGGTTTTCTTTCTTTCTTTCTTTTTTTAGATAGAGTGGGAGGGAGAGAGGGAAGAAGAGAGAGAGAGAGAAACATCGATGTGAGAGAGACACATCGAGTGACTGCCACCCACTCGAGCCCAACCAGGGCTGGGGACAAACTGCAACCGAGGTATGTGCCCTTAGCGGGAACCGAACCCAGGACTCTCCGGTCCGCGCTGACGCTCTAACCGCTGAGCCAAACCGGCCAGGGCTGTAGGTTTTCTTGTTTCTAAATACTATCTATCCATTAAAAAAAACAATATCTTAACAGGCTTTAACAAAGAAAAGTAAAATGTATGGGAGGTATAGATTTCAACAGAATTCAAAACAACTGTCCTCCCCCATACCCAGAGAAGGTCAGAGACTGCATTGAAGCAAAAGAAAAAATGAAACAAAAAACAATATGGAAGAATCCTGTCACATGCTCCGACACGGATGAATCCTGAGGGCATCACGCTCAGTGAAATAAGCCAGTCACAACAGGACAAGTACTACATGACTCCACTCATACGAGGCACCGGGAGCAGTGAAATTCGGAGACAGAAAGTAGAATGGGGCCGCAGGGAAGGGGGAGCGGATGTTTAATGGGAATTGATTTGCAAAATGAAAAAGTTCTCAGGATCAGTTCCACAACCATGTGAATATACCCAACACATGGGCTCAGCCAGCACTGAACTGCACATTTAACAATGGTTGAGATGGTAAATTTCACATTATGTGTTTTTTACCACAATAAGAAATATATATATAATGAACAATTCTAAGACCGGACTCTAGCGTAGTATGTTCTCTGGCAAAATCTATCCAAATTCTTTTAGGTCAGCCAATTGGACAAACAACTCAGGGGCCATTGGAGTTGTCCTCCACTAGAAAGAACATAGACCCCCTAAATCAGAGAAGCTATTAAAAAAGACTGCAAATCAGCTCCTTGGAAAATGCTTTTGACTTAAAGAAAAATACAAATCATTTTGCTACTAAGAAAGATGGACTACCTCCTAAAAATAAGTTCATCATGCCTGCAAGCTGACAAAGGCATTTCACGCCTCTGGATTTGGAGAGGAAGCTTCCTTTATTAATGTTCCTGTGGACATGTATAAACCGCTTTAAGAGTACAGGCCTTAAATAGGATGCTCAAGAGTTATATGAATGTAGAGAAGTATTAACAAATTTTAGTTCTACTTAGATAATTTCCTAAAACACTTTTCAACTCAGTTCAAAAGAATTGGGGTACGCCCATCCAAAAGGCCAAAGGAAATAAAGCAACAGATGGCACCGGTGCCAAGTTTTCCTCCCACTGAACTTCTGCATCCAGGGGCTTGAAGCAGAATCACTTAGATCACGAGAGAGATATAGATAGAGAGAGAGAGAGAGAGAGAGAGAGGGAGGGAGGACTCAGCCAGTTCTCTAAGGAAGCACGCCAGGAAGTCCCCTTCTTTATTGTCAAATATGTGTGTTTAAAAGACCCTGTTTTCTGTAAAATATTGTAAACTAAAAAATATATATATAATAAAATACTTCATTGTTCTAACCTTCCATTGGCAATTCCATTTCTATTACTTCATTGATCGCAGAAGACTGATGGCTTTCTGAAAGGAAAGCAAACGATATATAAAAAAAGGTGGAAGCACAAATTTTAAAAAAAGAATAACTTAAAACAGTGCAAACAATCCAGGCAGTCACAGAAATGTACATGAAATACTTGGACTCCTTGAAATAAAATTTGCACAAATGACCCTCCCTCCCTCCCTCCCTCCTTTTCTTCCTTCAGAACATTGTAAACATACAGAACAGAGAGATGGTATAATGCCCATCCCCCAGCGTCAACAGTCATCAACTCATGTGATCCTGTTTCCTCTGTGCCCTTCCCACCCCAACCCTGCTGGTGATTTAAACTAAATCCCAGATGTGACAGAATTCAATGTGCAAATACTGTGTAGGTACCAACAAGATAATAACTCTCGTCCTTCGGCATCACCCCAATATCACGATGGCCCCCAAATTAAATTATTTTTAATTATCATCTCATATCCAATCATCATTCAAATTTTCTCAGTTTTCTCACAAATGTCTTTTTCTAAAAAGAGCCTTTTATTTTGAAATAGTTTTAACTATTACAGAGAAGTTGCAAAAATTAAACAGAACAAAGCTTATATAACCATTTACTCAGATAACATGTTAACGTTTTACCGTTTCCTTTATCATTTGTAATTTCTCCCCTCCCTCCGCACAATCTACCTACACGGGAGAGAGAGATGTATATATACATACTCCCCCATCAAACTACCTCAGAGAAAGTTACATACATCACGGACCTTTATCTCAGAATGCTTATTTCCTAAGAATAGGGATATTGTCTTACATGAGCACAGTGTTACTTATAAAATCACAGCATGTAATGTTGAGACAACACTTTTACTTATTCTATCGTTCATATTCCAATTTTGTCAGTTGCCCCAAATGTCATCTGCAGCTCTTCTGCTTTCTGTCGCGGATCCAGTTTGCCATCAGGATGGTCTTTTGCTGTCACGTCTCTTGTCTCCTTTAATCTGGAACAGTTCCACAGTCTGTCTTTGATATTTATGGCATTGTCATTTTTAAAGACTATACCTCCGCCCCTCAGAATGTTCCTCATTTGAGCTTGTCTGATGTTTCTTCATGATGTGATCCAGGTTTTGCATCTGCAGCCAGAATACTGCCTGGGTGATGGTGTGTCCTCTGCAGGGAATCACATCTGGAGGCATATGATGTTGCTATGGACTGCATGTTTGTGTTTCCTCAAAATTCATATGTTGAAATCTTAACCCCCAATGTGATGGTACTTGGAGGTGGGGCCTTTGGGAGGTGATGAGGTCATGAGGGTGGAGCCCGCATCAATGGCATTACTGCCCTTATATAAGGGGCACCAGAGAGCCCCCTTGCCCTTCCACCACGGCAGGACACATTGAGCTCATCTCTGAACCAGGAAGTGGGTCCTCACCAGACACTGGATCTGCCAGCACCTTGATCCTGGGCTCCCCAGTCTCCAGAACTGTGAGCAATAAATGTTTGTTGTTTCTAAGCCCCCTGGTCTATGGTATTCTGTTACAGCAGTCCAGATGGACTGAGACAGAGTTCATCTGTTTCTCTCTGGTGATGTGAATTTTGTTCATCTGATTAAGGTGTTATTTGATTTCTCCACTGTATAATTACTGTTTTTTTTTCCCTCCCTCTCGCAACTGACAAGCAGTCTGTGGAGAGGAACTTTAAGATCACGTAAGTACTGGATTTAGCATCCATTGATGATTCTTTCTTGATCCCATCTTTTATTATAATGGTTACAAAATAATGACTTTCCATTTCCAGCATTCCTGCCACTTTTCAGTCATTATTTGGCACCCCACAGGAAGCAGTAATTGTCCTTTTGCAGTTGATTTGCTCAAACTGGGATCCCAACAAAGCCCACACATTGCTTTTGGTTGAAATGTCTCTTAAAACTTTTACTATAGAACAGGTTTCTCTCCATTTAAAAAACCCTTGCAGTTATATGACGAAGAAATCAGCACAGTTGTCTTGTCGAGCTTCTCCCATTCTGGGGTTTACTGCCTGCATCCTTGTGGTGCTGTTTTCACATGTTCCTGTATTTCCCATATTTCCTGCAAATTGGTAGTTAAGTCTGAAGACTGGGTTAGACAGGTTTGATTTGGGGGGACATGAATCCCAAAGGTGTACTTCCTACTAGATCCCGTCAGGAGGCACATAATACCTGGTTACCTCGACTTTGCGAGGTTAACCTTGGACCAGTGAGTGAGTTAGGACCTGCCAGCCTGATCCACTCCTGACAAAGTCCCATCAACATGTTATGAATGGTTTTCATGGCCACTGCTGATTACAGCTGAGACGCACTGTTACATTAGGGGTTGCAAAATAAGGACACTTTATGACTTATTTTTCAAAGCCTTATGTTTTATTCCCCAAAATTATTTTAAGTAAAAAGAGAGAGAGAGAGAGAAAGGAGAAATTCAGCAAATCTTTACTTGCTGGGAAAAATACTGAATCCCAATACATTTTGGTTTTTATCATCAGTCTAACTACATTATAAAATTATTAATCAATGTCTGTGTGCTAGCAGCAACAACAACAAAAAACAAAAGCATCTTTTATGCTTTATTGTTTTCCTTATTGTGAAGTGCAGACATGGGCATGGAACTTACTGACACAGAGTTATTATTATTATTTTTTATCCTCACCCGAGGACATTTTTCCATTTTTTGTTCAGATAGAGTGGGAGGGAGGGAGGGAGGGAAGAAGGGAGGGAGGCAGAGAGAGAGAAACATCCACGTGAAAGGGACACATCGAGTGGCTGCCACCCGCACAACCAACCAGGGCCGGGGACAAACTGCAACCGAGGCACGTGCCCTTAGCCGAAACCGAACCCGGGTCTCTCAGGACCGCGGGCCGACGCTCTAACCGCTGAGCCAAACCATCCAGGGCTGATACAAAGTTTTCATTCCAGTGAGTGATCAAAAGAAACCTGTCACATTGTTGCTGGCCAGGTGGGAAGACTAACATGGTGGGGCTTTAATTCCCATTCCGGTGGCTGAAATCAGAGCAACTGAGGTCTTAAAGGAAGACTCCCCACATATTTCAAGTGGGACACAGCCTGACAGCACAGTTACCATTTAATTTACCAGTTCTGCAATTATTTGAAGAAAGCTTTTTTCTCTTTCCAGCCTCTTGCCCATGTTTGGTCATATCGAAAGGGGGAAGGAACAGGAGGGAGACTGAGGCAGGGAGTGGGCTGAGAAGAGGCTCTTGGTGAGGGCAGCCCACACAGACCAGGACAGACCCCTGGTGGCCCTCGCACCGGCGCTCACACGAGGCCGTGTATTCCCAGGCTCTTGGCCCCCTTCACCAACGGTCCTCACTGCCTTAAATCTGCAGCACACTGTTACACACGGGCCTGGGGTGACATATAGGGCAAGTTAATCTTGGGCTGCTCGCAGGCAAAACAGATTCAAGGAAGGCCTTTCTACAGCTAAAGGGCGTAGTGCGGCAACTGAATTTGCAAACTGCTTCAGCAATCCGTCTATTCCTTTCACAATCCAGCCAAATTGAGGTAGGGGGTTCGAGGGATTTCAGGGCTGATGAATAAATAGATCTGACCACGAGGTGGCGCCAGCACACTCAGCCTTTTCTGGGCGAGGCTTTGACAGGTTGTGGGGCAAGTCCCAGAATGAAAGGTACTGGGGCTTCCGTGAGGGACCAGCACGCAGAAGGGGGAGGGGCAAGGGGACACCTGAGGAGAGGGAGACAGGAAAGGGGCTTATGTGTCTAGGTGACATTGCTCAGCAGCACGGATGGGGGTCTCCGGTCAGAGCGGTGCAGAGCAGCAGTGCTGGGGGTCTTTCCAGTCCTGGGGTTTTCTTCACCTATGCCTAGCAGATGTTGGGTACACTTGGAACTTGGCACCAGCAGGCTTTGAGCTATTAGGTCTCAGCCTGCTGTGAAGAAATGAACAACCTAGGGGCCAACACTGAGGCCATGTTCGGCTCATTTATGGAAAGAACACCAAGTAACTGCATCATCAAACTGTTCAGGCTGGGCAGCACGGAGCCACAAATAATACAAAATACAAACCACTTTAATGTAAAGGCTATTATATGACTTTACGGAATAGAAGTAGAGGTAAATAATTTAAAAACAAATTCTTCTTGTTAGGTTCAAGTCTAAGCAAGAGAAAGTAAGCCAATGCATTTCTTTCCCTCCTTCCATTTCGAAAAGGCAAACCCAGGGCTAAGTATTACACTCAGTAAAGTCAATGTATATTAACTCTAAAATACTGACATGCTCTAGATCATGACAGAGGATATATCTGAAATACTTCACCATGAGGAATTTTTCATCAGCCGAGTAACTTCAAAGGACCTGCTTTGGAGTACAAATTTAGTCATCAAATTTGGTTTAAGATATAGAGGTAATTTCACAGAGAAAAAAGGCAAAATTAAAAAGATTCTGACACATGTACGGGGACGAACCTTGAGGACATGATGCTAAGTGAAAGAAACCAGTCACATAAAGACAAATATAGCATGAATCCACTTATATGAGGTAATTAGAACAGGCAAATTCAGAGGCAAAAAGAATGGTGGTTGCCAGGGGCAGAGAGGAGGGGGATGGGGAGTTGTTAAGGGGTTCACAGTTTCTCTTTGTGAAGGTGATCAAGTTCTAGAGCTGGGTGGTGGTGATTGCCACACAACGGTGCAAATGTACTTAATGCCACTTACCTGTGCATTTTTTTATTTTTTCAGCCTTGTTGAAACAAGGCTTCCAAAAATTAGGTTGCCTCCCAAAAATGGGAGAGAGAATTTGTGCATTTTAAAATGGTTAAAATAAGAAATTTTAGCCCTGGCCGGTTTGGCTCAGCGGTTGGAGCGTCGGCCTGCGGTACAGAGAGACCCGGGTTCGGTTCCCGCTAAGGGCATGTACCTCGGTTGCAGTTTGTCCCCGGCCCTGGTTGGTCGTGCGGGTGGCAGCCACTCGATGTGTCCCTTCACATCGATGTATCTCTCTCTCTCTCCCTCTCTCTCCCTCCCACTCTATCTGAACA